ATGTAAAGGGACAATTCCCAATGAGAAATGTAATTGTGTTGTATACCTACAATGTACCAATAAAAGAATTTAATAAAAAAAAAAAAGAAAGAGTACAACATGGGACCCAAGAGTCTGGGCCTCACCCTAGGGTGCAAGGAAAGCCAACTCCAGGGAATCGAAAGAAGACCAGTTAGTTTCCTGCAGTGTAAACCTTCTAAGAGACTGCGCCATTGGAGTCCCCTCAGCCAGCCTTCTCAAATGCTCTTCTTTTCCTCACCACACAGGTGGAGAAGCAGGTGAGCGATGCGGTCTCTAAGGGGGCCACCGTGGTGACAGGCGGGAAGCGGCACCCGTATGGAAGAAACTTCTTTGAGCCCACCCTGCTCAGCAACGTCACCAGGGACATGCTTTGCTCTCGTGAAGAGACATTCGGGCCACTGGCACCGGTTATCAAGTAAGATCCTCCGACCACTGGGAAGAGGGAGACAGAACAGAGATTCTTGTGCTGTTATGGGGCTCAGCCCACCGAAGGGCAGGGTTCAATTTATGGCTTTGTTTTTTTTTTAATCTTTGGAAACTTTTAGAACTCACTTTGACATTCTTACCTCTTCCTGCAGTGGCTCTGGTACAGCTCATCCAAGGGCTCTGTCAGTCCGAGGTCCTAATGTCTTTCTTTTAATAACTAAAGTGGGAAATTTGTGATCATTATTTCTCACAATGGTTTCTCCCACTCCGTGTATCCTTTTGCAGTCCCTGAAAGGATTGTTACAGTGACAGTTCTACTCCTGGCCTCCTCTTCCCTTACCTGCTCTTTCCATCCCTTCATCCATTCCTGGTGTCTTCTGACAGTCTTTCCCCTCCGTCTGCTGGATTATGTTTTTGTCTCTTTTTTATTGGTATGTTTCCAATAATGATATCCACATTCATTTGGGGGAATTGGCACATATAATGCATATCCTGGTCATTTTCTATCCCCTTTCTCTCCACCCTCCTCCCTCCACCCCTTTCCCTGACCCCTTCCTCTTCTCCAGAAAGCCTGCCTTTATATTTTGGGTTTCTCATATAAGAGAAGAGAAACTGCATGATATTTGACTTTCCGTGTCTTAATTCTTCAGCTAGACAACCCACTCCCCAATTTTTTTGTCCCAATTATTTTTGCATATTGATCTTTATAATCATTTCTTCCCTACAACTGCTTCTTCCTGCTTCATTTTTCCCCTTACCCTGCTGTGGCCATTTATCCCTTTTCCTACATTTTTATTCTGTTCCACAGTCTCTGCCTGGTGTGGTAGAGACTGTACAGTTTGTTATTGTTTTTTAATCTTAGAGCTCCTCGACTGTCTCCTGATTTCTCCTTTGAATTCATCTTTAGCCTCTGAACTGTGTGCGTCCTTGATATCCACCATGGGGCTGTGAGAAAAGTGTAGACCCCCAGTTCCAGCTTCTGATGTGTTTGAGGGGCAAAGGGCTGAGTCTCAGCGTGGGGTTGGGAGGCTGTAGCACTAAAATCTTGTTTTACCCCTCCCACCCCTCCAAGTATCCTCTTCCTCCTGGGTGTTTTGCAGATATCTCTATTGCAATAGGCTGGAGCAAAAGGCTGCTGCCCTGGCCCCCCCCCCATGCTTATTGTGCATGGCTGGTGTGCCACCCGGTGTGGGCACTGCCTGGCTCCCTGTGCTGCCCCCTAGCACTTAGCACAGATCCAGGGTCCAGGACTGTGGCCAGGATCACTCAATTCAGGGCTGTGATGGTAGGCTGCCCCTCCCTGCCATGGCTCCATAGGTGGCCATCACCTCCCTCCAGGACTCAGCCCCCTTCCTGGCCTGCAAAAGTGTCTGGCATTTGGTGTTCATTGCCAATGGAGCTTTTTCAAGTCAGGATTCTCCTTTTCTCCCCTCTGGTATCTCCAGCACTGAGTTCACAGAGGGAGATGGCTAAGGCTGCCTCTTGCCCAGGGTCAGAAATCATTCTTATCATGCACTTTGCTAGCCTTGGTACCATTTTGCTTGTGGAGTTTATATATTATCCCACCACTACAGAAATACACCACTTGAAGAACATTCATCTCCATTTTAATAGAAATGTTTTTCCTAGAACATGACCCAGATGTTTTCTTGGGTAACTGGAAGGATGCAGTGGCTAGGAATGCAGGCTTTGGAGGTGATGTGGGTGTAGATTCAGGCTTTGCTGCCTGGTGTCAGGCTGCAGGCTGGTTAAACGTTCTGAGCACGCTCTGCAGAGACAGCTGGCTCCCCTTGCTGGTGGGTGTCTATATTTAAAAGTTGGGATGCTTAGAACTTCATGCCACAGTTATAATTCTGGAATGACAGAAAAATACCACTCAGATCTTGTTCCTGGAATAAAATTATAATTCTGCAAGAGGCTGCAGAGGGCTTTGGCATAAATCCTTCCTCTCAGAGAGTAACAGACTCCAAGCACCATGACGCTGTGCAGCAGGAGTAAGTGCCAGAGCCTGTTATAGACTGGCCTTGCCCTCTGACTCTGAATGGGTTTCCTCTACTGCATTATGCTTGCTTCTGTGTAGCTGTGATGTGTCTGTGGCCCTTCTATCCTGCGCACACCCGATGCCATCTGAGCAGTTACGACTCTAATGGGTTCTTGGTGGGCACCAGGAACAGTGGTCCCTTAGGGCTATGTGATAGTCTAGATACAGCCCAGTGCCTGCATGCTGGCCTGCTCTCTCTCGATCCTCCCAGGAGAGCCGAGGCCGGGACTGTCCCGAACACCCAAGCCAGGAATGCTGAGTCCTTCAGCAATTGGTACTCTTCCTCTCTGCACCCTTGGATATCTTTGCAAAACCCTGATTTACTTCTTGCCATTACTTGGTAAACAAATCAGAAGAAACGAAAGCTGGGTCTCTGTACTCTTCCCTCTGCAGGTTTTGCTTATGACCTGTTGTGACTTTGCCAGGTTCGACACAGAGGAGGAGGCTATCGCAGTCGCCAATGCCGCTGAGGTCGGGTTAGCAGGTAGGTACCTGTCCCCACTGGGTAGCAGTCACGCCGACTTTCTCCAGCAAATGCCAGCCATGCTTTCGGACCCATTGCCCTGGGTTCTCAGAAAGAAACTGAAGTAGCATGCATGCTGAGTTGCTTTCCAAGAGGCAAGGCTGCATTTGTGCAAGACTGTGTTCTTTTGACTTGTGCCCTGTGGGACACTTTGGGAAGGACTCTGGTCAGAGCTGGAGACAGCAGAGAGAGAATGGGGCTTGCTGTTATTGTTGGAGAAGTTTGGTGTGCTCAAGAGCTTAGTGGCCAGAAATTCCAGGTGTCCTTGCTTCTGTTTTGCCTCTCCTCTGAAAGCCTAGACCATGGGCATCAGCAGAGAGTGCAGGACAGGGAGGGAGTAGTGTGGGCAGGAGCTACTGACCTTCAATTTGCAGGTGTCAGGTGGCACAGCATTTTCTCAGTAGTCCTGAGAAAGTGAGCATGTCGGTGTCCATGTCTACCGTGAACGTGGCAGGGAGGAAGGTAAAGACACAGGTGAGGTAGGTTCCCACTCTATGGAAGCCTCCCCTCCACATGTAAGAACTGGCTATACCCAGGGAGGGAATAAGCATGCTGTGGTTCTCCTGTCCCACGTTACCTACTCACAGAGTCAGATGTGGGTACTGGGTTTCTGCCACAACAAGTCCAGGACTGGTTTCTCTCGTGTCCATGGGATGATGGTGGAGGAAGCCATGTCCTGCACAAGGTTGTAAGTAATGGGCGAGATTCTGACCATGCAGAGTCGGAGGAGAGAGATTCTGAGGGGACCGAGAAAGCTCAGAAGAGAAATGTTAGGTGAGGAGAGGGGTGGGCTAGCTTGGAGATGATAGTGGGTGATTGGAATGATGGAAGGTAAAGCTGTAACTGTTAATTGGAACATTAGGTAATGTCCGAGTAGCCACCAAGGAATTCAGCTGTATTCTACAGATAACCAGGAATTGCCAAAAGGTTTGGGCAAAAACATTGTGGAGAAATCTAACAGGCATTCAGGGTGGGCAGGGAGGAGAAGCAGAGCTGGGAGTGAGGTGTCGCATTCTGACAGGAGAGTGTGAGAGCCCTCACAGGGGTGGCACAAGAGCAGAGGTGACATCCAGGGTCTGGAGATGCAGACATGAAGAAGACCAGTGTGGGCTCATCCAGGAGCCAGGAGGGGTCCAGGCCAAGTGACCAGGCAAAGAGCTGTCCCTGGTGTCCTCAGCTTCAGACGGGATGTCTAGGGAAGGCTCTACACGTCACATCCCTCCTTCCCTCTGTTTCCCAGGTTACTTTTACTCCCGAGACCCAGCCCAGATCTGGAGAGTGGCGGAGCAGCTGGAGGTTGGCATGGTGGGTGTCAACGAAGGGCTGATCTCCTCGGTGGAGTGCCCTTTCGGGGGCGTGAAGCAGTCTGGCCTCGGGCGAGAGGGGTCCAAGTATGGCATTGACGAGTATTTAGAAGTCAAGTACGTGTGCTACGGAGGCCTATAGGATCCTTCAGTTCCCTAAGGAAAAAGAAAGGGCGCTTACTGACATAAATGGGGACATTCCATCCATTCTTTTAAATAAACTAGTAGGCAACCGGAGTTACGAATATTTTAGAACTCAGCCAGTCCTCATGATCCTAAGCAGATTTAAATCATCCCTCCCACTCCATAAGTGGGGCCAATATGTGAGCCCCGGCCTGGGTCCAGCCTGGGTCCCCAGTGTGACCTGCCCACCCCAACCTGCTTACCCCAGAGCAAGGCAGTGAGAGGTGGGCTCCATTGGGGCCATCGAAAAGGCTCGGTCACTGCCCAGGTGTTGCACCCTGCCCCTGGCATGGGGTGTGACAGACAGTGGGTCACGGGGGCAACAGCCTCTTCCTGGCCTTCTGCCAGCTCAGCACTACGGACACCGTGTATGAGACAGAGGCCGGACTGACCCTTTTGCAGCCTCTGAAGTAGCCCAGAATAGCCCGCACCGCTGTGTGGGATGCAGAGCGCTTCTCCCTGTGTCTGGACCAACTCTTCACTGTCCCAAATTCACTGCTCGGACTTCCTTCTGTTTCCTGTAGGAAATGAGTTTCAGCTGAAAGCACAGATTGCCAGAGGCAGGATAGTACAGCAGGGGGCACGTGGTCTCTCAGCCTGGCTCCGCCTGAGTGGTTCTGTGATCTGGATCGTGAGGCTCAGCACCTCCCATTCCCCACCCTCTGGAGCCATTTCTGTGGCCAGCAGGGACACCCGCCAGGGGCAGTATCTTAGCTAAGAAGACACTTCTTAGACCTGCCCATCTGCTGCAGCTGAGTCGGGCTGTCCGTCCTGGTAGTACCACTTGCTCTTTCACTTCCAAATGATCAGAGCACCTTTGCCACTGTGATCTCAAAAGCAGAAATAATTCCCACAATTTCCAGTCCACTTTGTGGCCTTGAATTTCAGGTACCAGTTACCTAATCAGAGCATTTATATTTCATCACTCAGAACACACACACAAACTCCCTGTGGCCAGTGTTGGCTCTCAATCTGAAAGAAAAATTCCCATTAGGAAAATCCTAGGCTTTTCTAGAAAGGCCTCCATCACTGAGGAGTCCACCCAGGCTGTTCCTGGCTGAACAGGCAGAGATGAAGCCTTTGCATCGCTCCTTTCTGTGCATCATGTCCTGTGGGCACTGCAGGTGGTGGGAGGAAGATGTGAATGAAGATAGCCCTGGATACAGCTGTCCCTGAGCCCCAGCCTGTACTCAGCACCCTCACTGAGCAGTGGCTTGGGGACGGTGTGGAGAAGTAACAATCTCGAAAGCCCCTGTGCACAGAGGGACACTTCCAGTCCTGCAGCTGCCACTCACCTGGTGAGTGGCATATCCCCAAGGCCCAAAGGAGAAGGAGCAGAACTCTGCCTCCTGGCAACACTGCCCGGACCTGTCAAGAGTCAGGCCACAGCTGATAGGTCATTTCTGCTCCATAGTTGTTAAGTTGTTAGGTGGCTTGGGCTAACATCAAATTGCTTAAGATTTGTGTGTGTCCCTCTCTTTTAAGAATACAAATGTTCTGATGTTATTTTCTAGAAATCAAATACTGATGCTGACGTGTGGAGGAATGTTCTCCGATACATTTTTAACTTTGTTTGTTTTTGCTACTGGGGATTGAACTCGGGTCCTTGTGCTTGGGAGGCAGGTGACAGAACCACTGAGCTAAATCCCTGGCCATTTTTAACTTTGTAAGCTGGTGGTTTCCTTAGCCAAATAGCACATTTTTAGGTTGTCTTGCATATTTGGCTCACTAGGTACATAAATTGAGGGTCGGAGACTCACTGCTGTATCTTTGACCGATTTTATATGGCTCTGTGGTACCTGGGGCCCTATGTCCAGTTCCTGGAAGCACCAAGATAAATTAAGGTAATTTGAAAAGGAAATAGGATATTGTTTAGTAAAATGGTTTGGGGTTGTGGGAAGAAAGAGAACTATTTTTATTTAATTGTTTTTAGTATATGTGCTGCCAAAGAGAGCACTATTTAATTTTTGGAGGCAGGTGCAGGCTGGATATCCTTCCAACTCAGCCTCCCAAGCAGCTGGGACCATTAAACATGTGCCACTGGCCCAGCTCAGTGGGGGTTTTTTTGGTTATTTTTCAATAAGGTAACCATATATGATACATGGGATTTTTCTTAGACGTTTATTAATTTACAACATGAACAGGAAAAAGACCATTACACCAGAGGTTGGCAAACTATAGCCCATCAGCCCAATCTGACCTGCCACTATTTTTGTACAACCTAAGAGCCAAGGACATATTTTATATTTTCAGATGGTTGAGGAAGGGAATTCTGAAGAGTTTTTCATAACACATGAAATTCAGATTTCAATGTGCATAAATGAAATGGCCGCATCTGTTGGCTCATGGTATGGGCAAAATGGAATAGTCTGTCCATGATGAGCCTAAAGTATCACTGTCCATCGCCGTCAAGGAGTTTGCCAGTCCCTTATCTAGACTCTGAGGGAAAAGTGGACCTTCTTACATGTCCTGGGCATTATTTTCTTCTACTGAATGCCTGCCGAGGAGAAGACGCTTTGGGGCAATGCTGCCGGGAGCTCCCAGCCGTGATCACAGAACAAGAGTCTGTGGCCCCAGAAGCCACTTTTAAGCTTCCTTCGTCTGGCTACACAGGGGTCCTCTTTTCCAGAGCTGATCTGTGCCCGAGGCTCTGCCCATCTGAGGGGTTTTTAAGTCTGACTGTCCTGTCTTCCCATGCCTGTCTTTATCTAGAGACTCAGTACGAAATGGGTTAGAAGCACAATGTAACAAGACCTATTTTCTCATTAACCAGCATTATGAACTTGAAATTGTACCACATGACTTGTTTCCTCTAGAGGGTGAATCCCAGTTTTTCATTGCCCTTATGTAGCTATTTTAAATAGCATTTTACTTGAATGACAACTTATGCTGTGAACACTTCATGCTGTACCTTGTTGGGTGAAATCTGGGGATAGGAGTAGTGGGCGACATATAAACATGCTGCTTTTAAATGTGTGCACATCACTCAGTTTTCCAGTTTCTGACATCGTATGTATCCGTGTCTAGTGCAGAGTTTCGTGTGTGTAATTAATAAAGCTGAACTGGCGGAATTTCCTACTTCTGTGTTAAAGTGTCTAGTGTGAGTTTTCTCCTGACCAGACCATCACTTGTGTTGACTGGATGGCATTAGACAGGTTTGGATGTGAGGACTGCCCTGGGTAGGAGCTGGAATGTGCATTTTGGGGGCCTATGCCTAAGAGAATTTTTTAAATTGTCTGTTTTCGGTTGCTAATAATACGACAGATTATGCTATAAAGAAAATAAGTTTATTTCAGCTCAGGATTCTGGCGTGGTGGCAGGAGTGCATTTGGTGACAGCCTTCTTGCTGGCAGAGTTCCTGAGCAGCACAGGGGTTCACACAGCAAGAGTTCCAGGCAGACTCAGCCCATCACTGTCATGCATGGATCAGCCCGTCCAGGACAGAGGCTCATCACCTCTCACACGTCCCTGGTCCCTCCTCATCACTGTCCTCACCTGGTCTCTGTGCACATGGCCCTGTATCTCTCTGTGGGTCCAGATCTCTTCTGACACCAGAAAAACTGGATTAGAGCCCACCCTGATGGCCTCCTGTTAGCTTCATTACCTCCTCAAAGAGATTTCCAAACATGATCTCAGTCAGAATATGGAGGGTTAGGATTTCAACATACAAATGTCAAGGAAATACAGTTCAGCCCATAACACTGAGAAACTTTGTTTAAAAGTTTAGTTTCAGTAATGGAAAGTGTATTTGATCAGCTTTCCATTGCTATGACAAGAGATAATCAACTTAGGAGGAGGAATGATTCATCTTCATCACGGTTTCCATCCATGGTCACTTGGCCCTGTTGTTTGAGGGGCCGGGGACTTCCAGTATCATGGTGGAGCACACTGAGGAGGAAGGCTGTCCACCTCAGCCACGGAGAAGCAGAAAGAGAGAAGAGCCTGCGTCCCCACGGCTCCTTCAAGGAGAGGTCTCCAGGGACGGAACTACCTCCCACTTGGCCCCATCTCAGAGATTTCACCCCCCCAATCCCACCACTGCGGAGACCTGCTGTGAAGATCTGGTTCATTTACTTTCAAAAAGCACAGTTCTGGTCTCTGCTAAAATTAATGCAGAATTCTTAACAGACAACAAACCCGGAGCTGTGTAATTACTTCACTCAACTTCGACAGCCCTGCTCCCATCAGCAGCACCTGCACGTGTACACGCACTGACCTCACCAATGTTGCTGATTGACTTAAATAGAAAGTGCGATTTTCTTGAGGGGAGAAAGCTCCAAAAGTGGGTGGTGTGTCCTGTATGTCTATTTATATGAAACTCTAGAATATTCATGGTGATCTCCAGTGAGTGCTGGGGAAGGAGAGGTTTCCAAGTGTCACGAGGAAATTTTTGGGGGTGATACCTGTTCATGAGCTTGATTATGGTGATGGGTTCACAGATGTGCACACACATCGAAACATCAAATTACACACTTTAGGTGTGTGCAGTTACTGTAAGTGAATTATACCTCAGTACACTTTTTAAAGCTGGCTTTATTAGTGATAAAAGCAGGGTTAGGGTACGTCTTAAGTACACACTCCCCTAGTCTGACCACCCAGCCACCACTATCGCTACTGCACTGCCAGACTTCTCCAGCAGGGGGCGTCCGACTTGTTATGCAGTGACCTGCGGAGGGCAGGAAGCATGAGCTGAGCATTCGCAGTTCCTCCCCAAGGCCTGTGTTAGTGACTCTAGACTTCAGGGAAGAAACAAGTTCTAGAAAAGCCAGATAGTAAACATTTAGATTTTGTAGACAGTTCTGTCAAAACTTCTTAACTTTGCTGTAAGAGCAGCCCAGTGAATGTGTGAGGTGAAAGCAGAGAGAATGTGGATGTGTTCACTTAATGGACAGAAATCTCCATTTCATACAGTTCACAAAATACAAAATATTTTATTTCTATTCGATCATTTTGGCTCCCAGGGAGTGGGAGAACAGGCTACAGGTGACAGTTTCTGACCGAAACTCAGGGGACTCATCTATGTGGAAGCATAAAAAAGAATTATTCTTTTAAAAAGCGTTATGAGAGAGCAGGACATCTGGCTTCTGAGCTAGAACCTTCCTTGTGGTAACGATGAAAGAGCGACTTTAAAATGGGCAATGTTGAGAAAGGCAAGATTTTTGTACAGAACTGTGCCCAGTGCCACACTGTGGAGAAGGGATGCAGGCACAAGACCAAATCTCCATGGTCTGAAGACAGGTCAGGTTGTTGGATTCTCTTACACAGATGCCAGCAAGATCAAAGGCATCACCTGGGAAGAGGATACATTGATAGAATATTTGGAGAATCCCAAGAAGTACATCCCTGGAACAAAAATGATCTTCACTGGCATAAGAAGGGAGAAAGGGCAGACTTACTAGCTTACCTCAAAAAAGCTACTAATGAGTAACAGTCACTGCCTGCCTTATTGCAGAAAAGAAATGTCTCATGGCCTTTGTATGTGTACCATAATTTAATAGATCACCAGAATTCAGATCATGAGTGGCTGACAGATTATTTTTTTAAGTAAAATTGGCTTATAACTAAATGGGGAAAAAAATTGCATAAAATACAGACACTTTTATGTAGATTAGTATATATATATATATTTAATAGTGTTACATTAGCAGTTATACCTTGCCAATACATGGGGAAAATGACACATTTAAAAAAAAAACAAAACCCAAGACTTAGAGCCCATGATAGCTTGGTCACACTCAGAAAGACTGGAGCTCCTCCTCCCACCTTCAGCGGGGCAGGCCTGGCCTGTTGAGTGACAAACCGTCTTAAGGAGATTCTGTAGTTATAAACACGTGTGGCCTGCTAATGCTGTAGGTTCAGCTCCTCTTTCTTCCAATCTAAACTAGCAACTATTAGTGTTTGTCAGCCTGTGAACGCTACACACACACACACTCCCCCATACTCTAGTGACCCTTCTGTCTCTGTTTATCCAAAGCTCAGGTGCTGCATCTCCTAAAGACCCTTAATGACAAGCAGCACAAGACAAAGACTGCCAGGTGGCCACACTAGCCCGTCCTCTGGTGAGGGGTGGGATAATGAAAAGGACCCTTTTTCTGCTCACCACTGTGCTGTTTATTTTTTAATCCCTCATAGATTCAAGACTCCTCTGTGGTGGAAGGGTCAGAAAGGTCAGGCTGAGATGGCCAGGAGAAAAGGAGGGAGAAGTGGGGTGGGGTGGGGGTGCCCAGTGGAGAGCTAACAGGAGCCACAGGTAGGCGCTCGGTCTCTGAGTCTTTTGCTCTTGGCCATGTTAAAAGAGCTTCCTCTAAATCCTAGAACAGAACTCTCAGGGGGCCCTGAAGGTCCTGAGATTTTACCCTCCAACATTTGGGGTGGGAGTTCTCCGTGCAGTGGAGGAGGATGTGGCATTCCATCCCCAGATCCACCTTGTAGGTAGGGTGTGACCTTGCAAGTCATGAAGCATGTGCAACAGGATGCACTTTAGGGGTGGCTGAATCTGATGCCAGGACACTGGTTCTCTCTCCTTCCACTTTTCCCACAAAGAATGCCCCTGGGCATTACCAAGGCCACTGCCTCAGGACTATGGGGCCTGGGACTTTCAGGAGCCGATCAGCTTGGCAGGGTTTTTTTTTTTGGTACCAGGGATCAAACTCTGGTCCTTGTGCTTGCGAGGCAGGCAGCGGAACCACTGATCTAAATTCCCGGCCCTACTTTTTCTTTTTTGTAGTACTGGGCATTGAAACTAGGGTCTTTGCACTGAGGTACATTCCAAGCCCTTTTTTATTTTTCACTTTGAGACAAGATCCCATTAAGTTACTAAGTTGCCCAGGTTGGGTTCAAACTTGTGAATTCTCCTGCCTCAGCTTCCTAGAGTGCTGGGATTAATGGGCACACACCACTGCAATTAATTTCAGTCAAATGCTCTGGGGTGCTACTTTGTGGGTAGAAATGGTTTGATTTTTTTCCATATGTTTATAATAAGATTCGAGAAGCTGTTTTGTTTTTTTTTTGGTACCAGGGATCAAACTCGGGACCTTGTGCTTACGAGGCAGGCAGCAGAACCACTGAACTAAATCCCCAGCCCGAGAAGCTGTTTTAATAAATGTCTCTTTATTGTTTTTGTTTTCTTTTTAAATATTTTTAAACATATGCAGTGCAGGTGCCTCTGACCCAGCACCCTTTTGGAAAGTACGTGCAGTCCAGAGTATCAAGACCACCCCGTTTCCATCAGGACTGGCCATTTTCCAGCTTCAGAACAGGCACACAGTCGCAGAGTCATTACCTGTATTCGTGGCAGTCCAAATGAGCAGTGCACATTCCATACTTAATACGCGTTCAGTAGATTACTAATACATTTTACTGCCATTGATAGAGACTGGAGCTGAGAGGCCTAGTTTGTTTTTCTTAGAGAATGAAAAGAAAGAATGTTAAATGCTATAGTCAACTTTGAATCTCCAAGTCCTGAAACCCTGCCTCCCTTGCTGTTGCCTCCTGTCCCTAGAATTCAGTTCTTCCTCAGCTCTAAAGGTTTCAAGAAAGCACACCCAGTGTTGGCTGTGGCAAAGGTGTGGAAAGGCATCAGGCTCAGCACAGAGGGCTCAGACCGCCGGCGGGAAGTTACATCAGCTGTCCAGCAGCAGGTCGTGCTGGAGAAGCCTTGCGGGGCCCGCTGTCCTTAAAGGCGACTGCAGCTACCAAGGGTGATCAGCTGCCCCAACACCCTTGTTGAAGTCACCTTCCCTAAGGTTCTACGCAGAAAAACAGGTGTTTACCTTTATTTTAACGTGGCAACATGAAAGGGTGGCAGCTACAAATTTACAAAACTCTTGTAAGATACACCTTAGAAGTTTTACCCAGCCTTTATTCCTATTAATGAGCATCCCAGTTAAAAGGGCAATATTGTTTCTTTTTATCTTGAAAACTCCAAGAAAGCAGTCTTGTTCTCCGTGGGGACACACATCGCGCCCTGTGGGAGGGTGCAACAAACTGCTGCCGAGAGTCAGGGTCACGTGTGAACCACCGCAGAGGGTGTCCCTGCCTCAGTGTCACACCATTATCTGTCCTCTGAGCAGTAGCTGAAGGAGGTGCCATTCCCAACAGGGCCATTCATGGAACCCTGGGTGTCCTCTCGCTCCATCCTTTCTCGGCTGAAGATGGTGTCCTGGTCACTGTCAAACTCTGACTCAGACACCATCAGGCTGGAGTTGTGCTCTGTGCTGCAGTGCTTAAGACCTGGGGAGAAGCAGCAGAGTCTTAGAAGAAACAGCATTGGTCACCCTCAGCCCTGTCCTTTGGGCTGCAGGTCACATGAGGAGCAGGGTGTTGTGCTCTCTCACCTTCAACACAATTACCCACAATGCAGCAGGTGGTGTGGGTTCCTAGGATGCAGTAACTGGGGCTTGTGGCCCAGCTTTGACACTTGCCAGCTGTGAGACCATGGGGAAGGCACTTAACCTCCTCTCTGGGCTTTCCTTTCTCATTTTATTAAACTGTGATATAACAAAAGAAAGGGAAGGGATGTGTAGTATTCAGAGGTTTACAGTGGGGATTAAATGAGATAGCGCTCAGCGCATTGGCCCAGTGTTAAGGGTACAGTAAGCAATGGAGAAAGGAAAGCTGTCAGGAGTTTGCTAGTGGGTTCAATCAAGTGTTCTGAGTAGATTTTATTTCTGAGGATCAAAATAAGAGAACAGGAAGAAGCTATGCTCCCTCCTCTTAAAAAATGTCTCGTCTAGCTAGGGGTTTAACACACACCCCAAGGTGGGGCTCACAAAAGGTAAAAAATAAAAAGTCTGACATGAAACAAGACAAGACAAGCACATGCTGGTCGCTGCCATTGCTTCCAAAATAGGATGGGATTTGAAGAAAGAGGAAGGGGCCGGGGATTTAGCTCAGTCGTTCCAGTGCTTGTCTTGCAACCGCAAGGTCCCGAGTTTGATCCCCAGTACCAAAGAAAAAAAAGAGGAGGACTTGGACACCAACACAGGGAGGGTGCATGGAGTATTCAGAAACATCCAGAAATATGTAGAGAAAGCCAGTCTGACAAATGAGCTGGGTGTGGTGGCAGACGCCTTGGTCCCAGCTACTCAGGAGGCTGAGGCAGGAGGAGTGCTTGAACCTAAGAGCCTAAGATCAGCTTAGGCCATGCAGTGAGACCTTAGGCTATCCAGATTCTGGAGCACAGGAACACAGGCAAGCTATTAAGTTTGGATTTATTCCATAAGCAAAGAGAGGGATGGTGTGTTGAAAATGTTTTAACATATGAGTAGAACCACAGTGTGCAGGGAAAGAGGGCCGTAGGGAACCAACTGCAGACACAGGCTGTTGCGGTTTGAAAGCTCTGTCATCCAAAGGTGATGGTACAGAGAGGTAGGGCCTCTGGGAGGTGACACACAGGACTGACATCCTCACAAAAGGCCCCATAGAGTGGCCCTGCCCCCTCCCAGGCTCCAGACCTGTGAGGCCTGAGCATCATGCTGTGAGCCAACCAGTGTGTGGCAACTGCTCACACAGCAGAGGGACTAAGGGTGGGGCAGAGGGTGAGAGGCCAGCTGCACCCACCCTGGGCACTCAGCTGTTACCCAGGTACACTGCCAGACTTTCCTGTGCCTCAGTTTCCTCTCCTGTAAAATGGGGGAGAATCACAGTTCATACTTCATAGTACTTAACTTAGTAGGGTTAGAATTAAATGGGTAAAGTGTGTTGAAAATACCCAGAATGCCTTAAGCACAGAATACTTGTTTAAAATTGTTATTACTGCTAGTTTTTTTTAAATTTTTCTTTCATTGGTACATTTTATGTATATAATACGTTTACATTTATCATTGGGTGCTTGTACTTGTACATGACGTATCTTGGTTCTTATTTTTTCCCCATTGCCTGTGCGCCCTTCACCCCCCTCCACCCTTCCCTATTTACATAGATTTCGTTTACATTTTTTTTTCTTTTTTCATAATTTTTCCTTTCCCTTCTTCTCTTTCCCCTTCCCCTCCCACCACCCCTACACCTTTGGACATTTTCCTATTTCAAATTATGAATTATTCATTTTAATCCTTATTTACACTTTCAGTTTCTCACACCAGAGAAACTATTCGGTATTTACACGTGTGTCCTATTTATTTCACTTAAGAGTATGGCCTCAATGTGCATCCATTTAGCTATAAATGTCTCTAGTTTCTCGTTATTACTGCTAGTTTAGAGGTCAGATTAGAAGGAGCTGAACCAACCTGGCATAGTGGCACTGCCCTATAATCCCAGCACTTTGGAGGCTGAGGCAGGAGGATCGCTGTGAGTTTGAGGTCAGCCTGAACTACACAATGAGCTCAAGCCCAGCCTGAACTACACAGTGAGACCCTGTCTCAAAAAAACAAAAGAGGAAGGAACTGAGCCAGTGTGGTAGATGAAGACAATGATAAAGAAAAGTGTGCAAGAGGCAAGACAGGGCAGCTGGGACGGGCAGGATGGGGCAATGGTGACCAAGGTTACAAACCTGAGGGAGGAGGAGAGAAAAGGGGCAGGCGCACTCTAGGTGGAAGGTGGGTAAGATAAAACAACCCAAAGCACCTTGAGCTTTTAGGTATAAAGTGGCTTTGCAATACTCTGGCATTAAATTATGTGATATAAATGATGATCACTCAATAAACACACAATACTACTGTTTGTGTTTCCTGCATCGCCTCTGCTGCTAGCACCTCCTAACTCCACTTTCCAAGCACAACTGGCCCTCAGTTTCGGCAGTACTTGCCACACCCCAGGACTGAGAGCCTCCCTCAGGCTGAGGTCTCACACCCTCCATCTCCAAGGCTGCCCTGTGGCCATGCACGGGGCAGGATGTCAACACTGCTGCTGGACAACTTTTGGCATCTCACAACTCACAAGTTATTATGTCCCTCAGAAACCCTGAATTACAGAAGACCCATGAGATCAGTGTCACACAGCCTCAGAGGGCCAGAGAAAGCACCTTACTGATGCAGCATTAAAAAATGAGAATCCAAAAGTCAACTGAGGTGGGCAAGGCATGGTCCTAAATGTGAGGACCCATGTGCTTTGTGGAGTCGATCTTCTGCACAAGTGTTAGCGAATGCAGCTGCTGAAAAATGTCTGCTTTTAAAGTCCAAATGTCCTTTGGCTGCCTATCTGGTCTGATAGACTAATGGGAATGGCATTCAGAGATGAGCTGGGGTGGGGGTGGGGGTGTAGGATTGTCCCAGCTCCTTCCAAGCACGAAGCACAGGGCCAAGCACTGGGGACGCTGTGGGAAAACACTGTTCGCCCCATGGCCACTCAGCAGGGACCAGGGAATAACAGGCACTTCCCATTCCTCATCCCAAAGGCCTCAGAGTGCTTTGCCAAATATCATTACATTTCTGGTACAGCAGCTGCCCCTACCTCCGAGCACATGTTCAGGATCAATGGCTGTGGCTTTTTCCACAGACTCCCAGGCTCTACCTTCCTCATGGAAGTGCTGATTACAGCTTATTATTCTTTGTTAAACCCAAGTTAATGCTCAGCCAAATACATGGATTCGATAACCTGGAGACCATCTTACCGTATTTGGGTCTCAGTTCCATTCTTTCCTGCTCATCCATGTTATCCAGGATGGTGTACTTGGTTTTTTTCCTTATTTTAGTCCTTTTTCTTCTGAAAGGAACAATGAAAAGCTCAGCTCATGTTCTCAGAATGGTAACCAAGATCCAGGATTTCAAATACATGGAAGACACTATGGGAAATGTTTTGCCTTTAGGATCTAACACTTGGCATCACAACATCTTATGGATGAGGTATGTGCAAGGCCAGGTTAGAGTTCAGTGCTGCTTACGTACATTTTGCAGAAACATCTTGTAGAAATGCATTGGGTGTGAGCAGCCACGCCACTAGCGCCCCCTAACGACAGGTCTCGCCTACACCTGAGCCCCTCACAGCAACCCTCAAGGCCTGTGAGTTGTCCAGGGAGCATCTCTCCCCAAGACACTCCGTACTCAGGAAGACCTGGGTGGGCCAGTTTCCCCGAGTCAACAGTGCCCTGGAATGTCCAAAGATGCAGGAATGAAACTAGAGACAGTGGGGATGGAGAGACAGCAGAAATTATAATACAGTGAGTTCCAGGATTATTCAGCAAAACCTGGTTGTTTTTATTTTTTTCATAGCACGTGAAAACCGGGATGAGTCTATGTGCCTCATTCTGTGCTGCAGAGGATTGTTTGAAAATACACATCAAAACCATGCATGCTAAGGTACACAGAGAGTAAACAGGAATTTCAATTTTCTGGTCAGGTGGGGATTCAGACCATGGGCCTGTCACCTCCAGTTTAGCACTTATGAGCTGGTGATGTTAGAAAATTATTCAGATTTCTGTGTCTCTATGTTCTTTCTTGTAAGTGGGAGTAACAACTGTTCCCTTTCCAGATGGCTGCAGGGAGGATTCATCCATGAATCACAATGAAAAATTCTTTATATCCACAGCCATCACTGCTAGCATCACCATCTGCTTGATATACCTGTCACAGAGCTGCAGAATGTTAAAGTCACACCCAGTTGGCGACAGACACCACCCTGCAGGTTCTGGAGAAACTTAATGGGGTTTGAGCCTCTTTTTCAGTGCCTGGCTCTCTTCACCAGTCACCATTGTAAGCATGATCACAAATAAAACCAAAATAATTCATAAGTGATTTCTAAAAAATAGCTACCAATTTTAATATACCTATTATTTTGATCACATTATTAGAGAGGACTTACAGTGTGTCATATAGAAAAATGGATGCAATGTTCTCTTCTGAGGCCTCAAGTAATTACTTTGCCTACAAATCTCCTCACAGAGGGTAGAGTAAGAGGTTCTGGAAGATTTGGACCATGAAGGAGCTCAGGGGCTTCTCAGAGGTCAGCTCCAAAGAAACAAGAAGGAAAAACCTAAGATAAAAGTTCTCTGTGGTGCTATTATCGCCTCACTTCAAGTTTTGAATATATTAGAAGAGATTCGGCTAGATCAGATTGTTGGTTCATATAGTTAAAAAAAATCAAAGTCTACCAGGTATACCAGCATAGTTCTAGAACTCCTTTCCCTGCTGAGACCTGCGGGGCCCTGAAGTGGGGCTCAGGGAACCTGTGTCACACTGAGAGGACACAGAGCTGCTGGGCCTCCCAGGATGCGAGCCCTGGAGGAGAGAGCAGCCCCCAGGATCTGCCTGGTGGCAGAAAGTGTCTGTCCAACAGTTTAGCAGTTTAGCAAATCCCAGCAAACAGTATCTGAGCTGCACCTAGTGGGGTGCCTCTATTTCCCAGGAACAAATATGCAGGCCAGTACCTCTTGCAGCAGCAGATGCAGAGCCAGGTTATGCCTCCCATGAGCACTGTAAGAGCGGAAGCCAGCACGGCCACATAGAGGATGCTCCATTCTGCAAACCAGAAGACCACAGTGGACACGGTTATATGCTACTTGCAAAACCCCCTTGTTATGATTCACAGGAAATGCTTCTGAGTCCGCCCAAGCAGGGCCCTCAGTGTTGACACCACCTGGGGAATGGCTGCAGAGAACAGAAGGGTGAGACACAAATACATGAAGAGCAACCCCACTGCCTTGCTGTTGGCCATTCTTTCAGATCAGGGACCTCACAGAGCACATACTATTCTCAAGAACAGAATAATCTAAAACAATGGGTATTAATCATTGAAGCAGTAATGCCTCTTATTCATACACGTGGGCCACATCAAAACCTTCCTTCCAGAATCCCAAGAATCACAGCCCTGCCCCAAAAGTTCTGGCTTTGTCTTAACGAAGCCACTCAAGTACCTGTGTGGCTACCAGTGGCATGAAGACACTATTAAGAGCCAGAGGGCAGAGCTGGGGGTTTAGCTCAGTGGTTCCGCCACCTGCCTAGCAAGCGGAGGGACCCAAGTTCGATTCCCGGTACCAAAAAAAAAAAAAAAAAAAGAACCAGAGGACAATTTGGAAACTCCCTGGTCTTCAGGCCATCCTTGTCCCTGCAGAAATCTGATGTAAAAAGACTTACAACAGCAATTTGGGTGCAGAGAAGCTGATGGAGTAAAGACACAGGCTTGACTCTATTGCTGTCATTGGAACAGTGATCCAAAAGCTGGCCATTTGCACATTTAGCCAAATGTCTATGCAGTATTCGCAGGAGCAGCATTTGGCAGCCAGCTCTGATCTTTTCTTCTGCCAAACATGCCCACCTGGATCCCCACATACTCTTAGCAGTAGACTGGCAGGGATGTGTCATTTTGGCCCGAGTTTCAGCAGGCCCTAGTTTGGCAGCTGATGCTGGGGCTCCAGCCACTGGTGCCCGCTTGGGTTGACAGCTGGCAGAGTGGGCTGGATTTTCTTCTTTGGTTCCAGTGGGTCCACCCCAGAAGACACATGACCAGAAACCTAAGCCAAGGGGGCTGCAATCTGGAAATGCAGCCGTGGTCCAAAGCAGCTCTTTCTTAAAATGCCGGCAATAGGGCAAATGTGCTCTGCCACAGTGCATCTCCTTACTGGGGCATCTTCCACATAAGCCCAGACACACACCCCAAAGGTGCACTGTGGGGGGATCTTAGCTCACTACCAAGTGGCCGGTTCACCAGGCTTCAGGTGAGAACAAGCTGAAAGTTTACAGCTGCACGGCCAGGCAGGTATTTCTGACCTCCAGGAACACAGAGCCCCGTCCATGTTGGCACTCACCACAGTTGCTCTCTGCGTCCCACAGGTACCGCTGTACAGGGTTCTCCATCCACAGTGCGGAGCACACACAGCGCTTGGTGATGGGGTCACAGTGGCCGTGACCAGAACATGTGAGAAGGCAACCTGCAAAGAGGTGGTGGGCTGAGGTCACTGCAGAGGCAAAGGATCCCTGGGCTCCTCTTCTTTTGTACCTTCAATAGCGCAGGCCCTTAAGGCTGCTGAAGGAAGAATCACTTGTGGTATGGGCAGGGCTTCTGGGAATCACTGATCCCCAAGAACCTCACCAGGAACCAAAGAGCAGGAAAAGCCAATGCACAACAGAGAGCAGAAGCCTTAAAATGCAGCAAAATTACTGCACCCTCTGGCCTAAAAAAAATAAGCTCTAAGAAGACATATAGTGAAAATAATTGGGAAAATGCACAAACATGTATTTATATTATAATATTATTTTAAATCAATCTTTAAGTCCATGCATGGAGGCTGGCTGCATAATTACTGATCATACCCAGGGAGGAACCATCCAATCATAAAATGTCTCACTAAAAAGATATTAAGGGTTTGAGAAATGATTGTAATATGAAGCTTAAAAAAAACGTTAAAAATCTATCAAACTATCCTGATTGTATTACATGTTTCTAGAGATGGAGCAATTGGAAAGAAATACATCAGGATATTCACGAAAGCTCTTTGGATAGTGGGAATTCTAGACTTTACAATCTGGAGGATTATTTTCTTCTTTAAGCCTTTCTCGATAATTCAAATTTCTACAATAAATATTGTTTTGTAGCTAGAAAACACGAAGTTATTTAAAGATTTTACTCCACATTTTAATTGAGAAAGTCAATAGCAGCTTGACATATACTTGAAACACATAAAACTTACTGACCAACATTGCTGCAGCCTTTGTAACTCTAGCTGAAATGATCACTTTGATGTAATATTTATCCATGTGACTCAGGAGAAGGGGACAAGGCCATGAGCAGTGAATTTAGTCCTGAAGGGGTAGAGAGCAAGGTGCTAAGAAAAGAGCTAAAACTGAAAGGCACTTATAAACCACCTTCAATTTTCAGAAGCTCTGATGCACATCCATAGTTCCAGCTACTCTGGAGGCTGAGGCAGGAGGATCACCTGGGTCCAGAAGAACGATGACAGCCTGGGCGACACTGCAAACCTGTGTCTCAAAAACTTAAAAGTAATTTCTTTTTGACCCATGACTATTAGTTTCCTACCCAGGCCAGAGTAGCTGGCAAATGTGTGTGGCAGAAACCTCCTTGAGAAATAAAAGCGAAACAAGTCCCTGGACGCTAGGGTGAAACTGCCTCCAGGTCACACCTCTTTCTGTGCCAGCAAAACTCACCAAACTGGCAAGGCCTGCTCTTCCCGGACACTCTGTAGGGGGCGTACCTGCAGTGTCAATCCTCAAGACCTTGAAGAGCAGGAAGTCGGCCTTCTCCTTGGAGAGACGCCTGTGCAGGCTCCGGGCCACCTGGGCAGCCTGGAGCACCTTGAATGGTGGCCCGCTCTGGACATAAAATACAACTGCCGTGCTGCAGAGGAGACAGCGAGAGAGGACATGTCCCCCTGGGCCTCTGACCCAGAAGTCACAAGGCTCTGAGGCCAGGCTAGGCCAAGGGACCGAGGAACTGTTTCTGTTCTCTTTGGTCCCCACTGCAGCTGACGACACACAAACAGACCTTCACAGAAGACGAGTGAGCAACACATGGGGGCAAACACACAACATCCAGGAAATGGTAACTTCCAGACATGTCCCCTTTTGCTTCATACACTCATTCATTCCTGTGGTGCTGGGGATGGAGCTTAGGGTCTTTACATGCAGAGGACATGCCCCCACTGAGCTGTGCCCAGTCCTCCTTTGGCCTTCTTTAATTGCAGTATCATTTTACATATCACAAAATTCTTCTTTTTAAAGTATAAAATTCAGTAGCTTTTAATATATTCACAAATTTGCACAACCATCACCACTGTCTCATTCCAGAACGTTTATATCACTCTAGAAAGATACCCCATACCCATTGTGGTTATTTTCCATTTCTCATCCCCTACAGTTTCTGGCAACTAGGACTCTGCTTTTTTTCGTTTTGTCTGTCTTTATGTATAAATGAAATCATGCAACATGTGATCCTCTGTGTCTGGCTTCTTTCACTTGGGTGTTTTCCAAGTTCATCCATGTTGTGGTATCAATCAGTACTCACTCCTTTTCGTTGCCAAATAATATTCCATTATGTGAATTTATCACATTTTTAATCCATTCATCAGTTGCTGGACATTTAGGTTGTTTCCATTTGTTGGCTACTGTGAATGGGTGCTATAAATATCCACATACAGGTTTTTGTGTGGACATAATTAGTTTTTCATTTCTCTTGGGTATATATATAGCTAGGAGCAGAATTAGTGAGTCATAGGGTACCTCTTTGTTTGGCATTCTGAGAAACTGCCAACCTTTCCACATTGGCTGTACCATTTCATACTCCCTACAGCAATTGTAAGTGCTGCAACTTGTCCACCGTCTTGGTCACTTGCCAAGGTCTGTCTTTTGGACTCCAGCCACCTCTCAGGCATGAGGTAGCACCTCATGCGTTCTGATGGACATTTCCCTAACGGCTGAGGGGAAAAAATTTGTGAATTACGTGAGAATTCTTCAAACGGTTTGCAAAATTCACCTGTAAAGTCATATGATCCTGGGGTTACTGGGGAAATTTTAAATTACTAGTTCAATCACTATGCTATAAATCTACTTAAGATTTCTTTTTTGTTTCTCCTTAAGTGAGCTTTTGTAGTTTATATCTTTCTAGGAATTTATCAATTTCATCTAAGTTATCTAATATGTTGATACACAATTATTATGGTATCTTCTTATAATCCTTTTTACTTCTATAAAGTTGGTTGCAATGTTCCTTTTCATTCATGATTGTAGTAAGTTTTAGTCTTCTCTTTTTTTCTTGGTCAATCTAGCTAAAGGTTTAGCAATTTTGTTGATCTGTCAAAGAAACAGCTTTTGGGTTTTATTGATTTTCAGATATTTTATTTAGTATTTGATATTTTAGTAGTAAGAGAAAGTTTTGAATTCTCTATTGTTACTGGTGGTATAACTGTCACATTTGGTAGATAGTACTGTATGTCAATATTTGGTTTGTCTTTGTGTATAAATTATAATTTTAGATCTCTTGTGCATGGTTAAGGGTAGGTAGTACCGTGGTAGCCTCTACTGGTTCTTTTTTAATATATGTGTTGCCAAAGTGAGCACCTATGGTTCTTATGGTATATCACTATCCAGTTTCTCTTTGATCTCTATTATTGCTGCTGATAATGTTGCTACTGCAAGGGTGGAATGGTTGTTATTATCAGTTGATTTTCACTGTCTGCCAGTGTTTGGTTTGTGTTTGTGTTATCACCAATACGTGGTTCATTTCTGGAACCACAATGTCGCTGCAACCTCCCCTCCCAAACTAACAGGGGTGGATGGATTCTGGGACAGAGGCAAACACCTACGGTTAGTCACACCCAGTGTGCAGCACTGAAAAGCAGACATGAAATAAAGAGCTCTCCATACCAGCAATAAAGTCTTTCCAATATAATGGACCTGCAAACCTTAGTACAAAAACAAAAATAATGGAGACCAGAAGACAATGCAGCAAATGCCTCCAACAACTTCTCCAAATCTGATTCATGGGGCACTGATGGGAAGGACATCAAAAGCCAAACAGCTGAATTATACAGAATGATAAGAGAGGAGACAAACAAACAAAAAACAGATCAATAATATGCTCAGTGAGCTCAAAGATGACATAAATAAACTGATCATGGATATAATAAAACAATCAGTGAACTTACAGAAGACACTAATAAAAAGCTAGCTGAGCTAAACAAAATGACATAAAACACAAATGACTAATTTAGCAAAGAACTGCCACTCATGAAGAAAGAAGTACCAAACAGAAACCCCAGAGATTAAAAGTTCTATTCAAAGTACAGGCAGAAGAAGTGACCAATGTGAGGACAGTGTCAGAACTAGAAGACAGGGCTGATGCCAGTGACCATATACTGTACTCAGAGGCACCTTAAAAACAACAAGATGACATGGAAAATAGATCTGACAGCTACCAGACGGCACAAAGACGACTAATCTAAGATTAACTGAAATTAATGAAAAGCCAGAAGACAGAACAAAATGTCATAAAAACCTGTTTACAGAACAAAGAGCAGAAAACTTTCCAAATGGAGGGAAAGAATTTAACATGCAGATAAGTAAGGTATATAGAAAGAGCCATGATCATAAAAGAACTCTATGACACATCCTAGTCAAAATGCCCGAAATCTAATGCAAGGACAGAATCTTAAAAGCTGTTAGAGAGAAACAACAACCTAACATAAAGGTAAACCCTTTCGGATTAAGGTAGACGCAACACAAACCTTAAAGGCAAGGAGAGTGTTGAAGAGTGTCAGGTCCTAAAAGGAAACAACTGCCTGCAAAAGTATCTTTCAAAATTGATGAAGAAATAAAGTCTTACCATGACAAAGAGCACCTTAAGAAATTCATGACCACTAAACCAGCACAACAAAAACTTCTCAAGGATATCCTCAAAAGAGACAAGGAAGTCAACAATGCCAAAAAGTCTAATGGACTGAATAAACCAGGGAAGGTGAGGAGTTAAGTAGAAGGGGTAAAAAAGGAACCAGCAACAGGAAAATAATGCAATCCCAAGCATAAATACTTTTCAGTAATAACTCTTAATGTGTGAAATGTCTCAATTTGCCAATCAAAAGACACAGATTGGCAGTTTCAATCAAAAAACAAAACCTAAGGATATACAATATACAAGAAACATATTTAATCCAAAAAGACTTTCACAGACTGAAAATGAAAGGATTGAAAACAATATTCCATCCAATGGGAGCCTGAAAACAAGCAGGAGTACCTATTCTGTCTTCAAAGTGGACTTCAAGCCAAGACTACTCAGAGAGACAAAGAAGGTCATTACATATTGGTTAAGGGAATAATTCAACAGGAAGAGATAACAATTATAAATATATATGTACCAAATACTAGTACACACAACTTCAAAAAAAACCACTATTGGGCATAAAAGATCAGATAAACATCAACACAATTACAGTGGATGACCTCAGTGCACCACTGTCACAAACAGATCAACTAGACAAAATAATCAACAAAGAAATATCAGGGTTGAACCAAACCTTTGAACAGATAGACTTAAAAGATGTCTACAGAGTGTTCCACCCAAATAACAACAGAATACACATTCTTCTCAGCACTACAAGGAACTTTCTCCAAGACTAGCTCATAAAGCAGGCTTAAGTAAATACAAAGGAATCAGAATTATCCCATGCATATCAGATCATAGTGCAATGAAACAAGAAATCAATGGCAGAAGAAACCACATAAATTATGCAAAAACATGGAAATTAAAATAATACCCTCTTGAATAATCAATGAGTCTCAGAAGAAATCAAGGAAGAAATTAGACAGTTCCTAAATGGTAGTATCAGTACAACATACCAGAACCTATGCAAAACAACGAAAGCAATCCTAAGAAGGAAGTTTATAGCTATAAATGCCCACATCAGAAAAACAGATTAAGCTCAAACAAACAATGTAAGGATGCACCTCAATGTCCTAGCAAAATAAGAACAATCTAAACAAATTAGATAATCCCCTAGCCAATCGTACCAAATAAAAGGAAAGAAAAGACACAAATTGATACAATTAGAAATGAAAATGGCAAAATCACAACAGATGCTGCCAAAATCCAGATTATTTGTAACTACTTTGAAAGCCTGTACTCCAATAAATTGGAGAATCCAGAAGAAATGGAGATTCCTAGATACATATGAATTAACAAAACTGAACCAAGAAGATACAAAAATTCTGAATAATAGAATAACAGGCAACAAAATTAAAGCAGTAATAAAAAATAATCTACTAACTAAGAAAAGCCAAGGACCTGATAAATTCTCCACTGAATTCTACAAGAATTTCAGGGAAGATCTAATACCAGTACTCCTCAAACTCTTTAATGGAACTGAAAGGGAAAGAGTACTAATACTGTCAAAAACAGCCATAGTACCAAAACTGATACATAGATTCAATACAATCCCAATCAAAATACCAACATCAGGGCCGGGGATTTAGCTCAGTGGTTCCGGTGCCTGCCTCACAAGTGCAAGGTCCCAAGTTCGATCCCCGGTACCAAAAAAACCCACCAACATCATTCCTCACAAAACTAGATAAACAAAAAATCCTAAAGTTCATATGGAACCAGAAGAGACACAGAATAGTAAAAGCAATTCTAAGACACAAGAGCAAAGCAGAAGGCATCATAACCCTGGATTTCAAGTTATATTACAAAGCTTCAGGGATAAAAACAGCATTTTATTGGCACAAAAATAGACACACAGATCAATGGAACAAAATAGGGGATGCAGAAACAACCCTAGGCATGTTCAACAAAGGAGCTAAAAACAGGCGTTGAGGAAAGAGCTTCTTTAAAAATAGTACTGGGATAAGTGGCTCAGCACATGCAGAAGATTGAATCTAGACCCCATCTCTCACCATGTACTACACTAAAAGAAAAATGGATCAAAGACCTAAATATTAAAACAGAAACATTTAATCTGCTGGAAGATAAATAAGTAAAACTATTGAAGACACAGGCATAGGCGAGGACTTTCTGAACAGAACCCTAATTGCACAAGAAATAACATCAAGAATCAACAAATAGGATTATATCAAATTTAAAACTTTTGGAGGTTTTTTTGGTACAGAGATCGCACTCAGGTCCTTGCACTTGCACAGCAGGCCAGGCAGTGAAACCACTGAGCTAAATCCCCTGTCCCAAATTTAAAACTTTTGAATAACAAAAGAAACAATCAACAGACTGAAGAGACAACCTACAGAATGGGCAAACATTTTCCCAGCTACGCCTTGGACATAGGACTAACATCTAGAATATATAAAAAACTCAAAAAAATTAGACTCCTCAAAATAAAAGATCCAATCAAAAAATGGGCTACTGAAATGAACACTTTTCCTCAGAAGTACAAATGGCAAACAAATACATGAAAAAATATTAAACATCGCTGGCCATTACAGAAATGGAAATTCAAGCAATACTGTTATTTCACCTTATTCCAGAAAGAATGGCTATCAATAAATCAAATAATAAAAAATGGTGGTGAGGGTATGAGGAAAATAGAACTCTTCTACATTGTTGGTGGGAATGTAAACTAGTACAACTGCCATAGACGTCAGTATGGAGATCCCTCAAAAAACTGCAAATAGAAATTCCATTTGACCCAGCTATTTCCCTTCTTGGTATCTTCCTGAGTTAAAACACATCATATGATAGTGATACATGCATATCTATGTTTGTAACAACACAACTCAGTAGCTAAATCTTCAAAGTGGCCTCTATGTCCATCAACAAGTGAATGAGGAAATTGTGGTATTTATACATAGTGGAATACTACTCCGCCATAAAGAAGGATACACTGGAGTCATTTGTAGGAAAATGAATGCATCTTGAGACCACAATGTTAAGTAAAATAAATCAGATGCATAAGCTTAAATGTCACATGGTTATATGAAAAACTCAAATTATAAATAAAGAGAAAAATAATAGAAAACTGGAAACAACCAGATAGAGCTTTTGCAAATGGGAAGGGGACTAGGAGATGGAGGAAGGGGTGAACAAAGGGATTAAAAATGAATTAAGATGCATTATGTACATACATGTACCAGCTTCCTGCAATGAACATAATCATTATGTACCACAGACATGTACTAATCAAAAAGTAAGGAAAAAATTGTGTGCCCCGTTTTAGAAAGAGTTCTGTAAGTTGCTAGAGAGGTGGGGGTCTAGTTCAGGGGAGGAGTGCTTGCCTCGTATGCGCGAGGCCCTGGGTCCAATCCACAGCAGCACAAAGTAATCATAATCACTGAACGTGGTTTTGCCTGGTGTTTTTCTAAGTAAACCTCGGTCCTCTGGAAAACTGACCTAAGGAGAAGAGCTGACAACAGCTCACACCGTGGAGACACTGTGAATAGCAGATTTTCATTCCCATGTTCTCTCCTTTTCCTCCCACCCCACCCCACTCAGACAAGAATTCAAAACTAAAAGCTCAATTAAATCCCAAAATCTTTTCTGTTTGTTTGTTTGAGACAGCATTGTGCTGTGTGGTTCAGGTTGGCCTTGAACTCACTATGCAGCCCAGGCTGGGCTTAGACTCACAGCTGTCCTCCTGCTTCAGCCTCCTGAGTGTACGATTATAGGCATGCACCCAGAAAATGCAAAAACCTTAAAAGAATTAAAGACCAGAGTTTCATGCTCATACATTCCTGGAAGACAGCAAATAGCAAGCAATGAACCTTTCACATTGAAAGAAGCTGCAATCCCTGTGAGTATGGGGCAGGGAGAAAGTCTGGTGGTGATGCTTACTTTTCACAGGGCCCAGGCCATTTGCATGCCCTCCAAAAATACCAGAGCTGAACATCAGCTTCCTCTCATGCTTCCTAGGTCCTTCATTCAGAGCGTTCTCAATCAATAAGCATTTACCAAGACTGGAAGGAAAGACTTAGAAAGACATTGTCCTTATTCTGTCTTTTGAGAGAACAAAAGCCTATGAGTGCAGTGGGTTAAAGATGTGCACAGGAACCAGCAGGGCTGTGGGTGGTGTCCTGCTGATTGGATGTGGGAAGAGCTGAAGCTCTGGGGGCAGAGGTCCTGCCCGGGGCAGGCAGCCATACGCACCTCACATCCGAGTGGGGCTGGATCTTTTGCACCCTCACGTCCGAGTCCAGCGTGCCCAGCAGCGTGGCCAGCCGCCGCACCAGGGCGTCCTTCTGTTGCTCCATCAGCTGTCCGGCTCCCACCTGCAGGATGAGCTCCACCAGGCCGCCTTTACTGGGGTCTGTGAACGGGGAGACGCAGGGTTTCTGCTTGGAGCTCAAAGCTGGAAAGTGCGCGGAGCAAGCCCTGCATGCGGTTCAGAACCAGTCTTCGTGCAGTAGCCAGAGTTGGCTGTTAGCATAAATCCTTTTCAACACCCTGGAGCCGCTCTCTGGGAGAACTTTTTCTGTTTTGTCCCAGTTTGTTGTCTATTAATTTTTTTCCCCAGAAGATAACCAAGTGTGTCTAATTAGCCTTTGTACCAACTTCAAACTCTGGCGCCTCAGACTCCCCCGGGACCAGGAGGAGAGCTCTGTCCTGGGCGCCACGGCCACTGCCAGCCTGGTCTCCACTGGGGGTCACAGCACCTCCCTGAGCTGCCACCAACCCCTGCAGTCCCAGCACTGAAGTCACCGTGTCCCCATCACATGAACAGCTTTATACTGGCAGGAAAGCAACATTGAAAAAAAACTCTTACTGCCAGATACAGTTCTTACTGAGCTCCGAGTGAGGCTGGATCAGTTTGGGGACATGAAACAAAATGCATAAAAAGCCTCCCAGCAGGTGGTGGCAAGAACTGGGCCACCACAGGAAGCCTCCACACCAGGCCACATTGTCAGGAGCTGGGGCCGAGCAGCAGCCGGCTCTGGGAGCTCACAGCCTGCAAACGCACCTGGCCGCACCTCCACGGTGGCCGTGTCTGTGTCCGAGGCCCCATGCGGGTCGGTGACTCGCAGGTGGAAAGTATAGACACCCTCCACCAGATCTGTGAGCTGCAGGGCCACACTGTGGTCAGAGCCACCAATGACATCCTGTGAAAAAACAACGATCACAGGCAGTTGTCAACCTCAGTGTCCCTGCTTCTGTTGCTCCCAAACCTCAGTTCCAGTCTTTCATGTGTGCAGACCATCAGGGGAGGCAGAAGGGGCTGGCGAGTGACCTACAGCACCTCGTCCCCTGTGGTTCCCAGGTCACCAAGGCCTCAGAGCTCCCACAGCAGAGTAGCCAAGCACCTCCTAGGAATGACTGAATGGTTGGTTTCATCTAACAGAGTGGAGGACTTGAATTGGGCAAGGACCTCCAGGGTGAGGCATGGGCTTCATCAGTCTTATTTTCAAACACAGATTTATAATTCTCCCCGCGTGGGTCTCCTGAAAGTGTTTCACATTCAGCCTTTCAAATGACCCAGAAAAAAGCCACTGTTCTGTGTACTTTGATGCTCCAAAGGATGAGAGAAGATTTCCTGCTCTGAATGTGCAAATACAAAAGGGTGGGAATGAAAAGCAAGGGCTGTATGCCCGACCTGGTAGCGCAGGCCTGTAGTCTCAGCATTCTGGAAGGCTGAGGCAGAAGGATCACAAGTCTGTGCCCAGCGTGGGCAATTTGGCAACTTAGTAAGCCCCTATCTCAAAAGTAAAAAGTAAAAAGTAAAGGCTCTTAACAGAGACCCATGATAGTTACACTTAAAAGCTAACCTACCATCTATCTGAATGGATTAATTCTAGAAGCACTGTAGACAGCACAGAGCATTTTCACTTCTTTCCCTGTGCCTCCTCCTCGGTACATCTCCAAGAGTACTTGCAGATCTCGAGTCTTTAGCTACAACAGGAGGGAAGTTGTACTTGAATTTATAGTCTAAGAGGCAGAGGGATCTAATGGGATAGAAGTGTCTTCCAGGAGCTAAAAGCCTGCCTCTGTCTGAGTTAAGGATGAGTTCATTGACCTTAACAATGTCACTTTCCATCTCCGCATTTCACCGTGCACCTGGGAAATGGAACAGCACAGCAATCCTTGACTGTCACACACTCTGATATGACACAAGGAAGAGGGAAGGATCCACTCGGGACAAAAGAGGAATGGCAGATAAAGAGCAGCATACTTCCCACTAGAAAGCTTGGCTTCAGAGTCCCTCCAGGCCATGATATGCTGCCCCTTCAAAGTCTGGTCAAGAAATTCAGAAAGGACCTCAGTGTTGCTTAAATCTGACAGCAGCTTGCTGCTCTCGGCCCTCAAAACACTGCAATGTAGAAGCACAACCACTTTCCTGGGGAGAGGAGGGCCTAACAGAAATGTTGCTCTGAACCAGAGTGTGTCCCTCAGGTCCCAGGACTATTCCTAAAGACAGGCCCCATAAGGAGGGAACTGAGGTCACAAGGGTGAGTCCTGACCCAACAGGATGACTGTCCTCCTAGGAAGAGGGATGAAAGCTAGTGTTCCCACCTCCTCTCTGTCCCTGCCAAGTGAGGCCATAGTGAGAAAGCTGCCATTTGCAAACTGGAAAGAGAGACCTCACAGGAAGCAGAAGCACCAGGAAGAGACACCTCACAGGAAGTGGAAGTAGCTCAGCATGTTGCTCTTGTCCTCCTAGCCTCCTAAACTGAGAAAATACATTCCTGTTGTTGAAGCCACCCAGCCCTGAGGGTTTTGCTGTGGCAGCCCAGGCTAACTGATACAAATGCACAAAGCAGATGGGGCAATGCTCTGTAAGTACTCACTCCAGCTGCTGGACTCTGGCCGTCCCGGATCCACAGATAGGACGCAATTCCTTGGTCATCAGTAGACCTTGAACCATCCAAAGTAATGGAGTTATTGGGAAGCACAAGAACATGTCTGCCACCAGCCTGGGCTCTGGGAGGACTATTATTTTCTAAGTCAAATATAGCAAAAATGAAAGCAAAGAAATTGATTTAAAACATTGGTGATAGAACGTATGTCACAAAACATCCATGACTATTCCATCTTGCAGATATGTAGATTTGAAATATCTAAAAAGTGTTACTTTTTGCCCCAAATACCTATAAATAATATATGGACTTTATTAAAGCTCCGTGCTCAACTGAGTATAATTTGAAATGAAAAAGGTAAAGCAGGTAATAGCCTGGACATTGGAAATTCTTCTAATGTTCTTACAGTTTTTCTCTCCCTGGAAAAAAAGAAATAATGATCTTACTTACACTCAGTGTTTATAAAGTGGAAATATTTTGATTTAAAATAGATTCCAGGGATAGGGTAAGTGTGGGTCCCTGGTACAGTACTTGCCTAGCATGTATAAAGCTGGGTTTGATATCTAATTACCACCAAAATAAATAAATAATATAAAAAATATAGTCTCAGCTGGGTGTGGTGGCACAGGCCTGTAACATCAGCACTCTGGAAACCTGAGGCAGGAGGGTCACAAGTTCAAGTCCAGCCTAGATAAAACAGTGACTTGGTGAGATTCTGTCTCAGAATAAAAAATAAAAAAGGGCTGGGGTACAGCTCAGTGTGAACGTTCTGGGTTCAATCCCCAGCTCTGAAAAACAAAACAAAATATACAGCTATTATTACATTTAAAAATGAAACTCTGGGTCATTTTTTACTGGTCCATACAATCTGGCTACAGAAATATTTTTATTTCTAGTGTTGCTAAGATGGTTAAAAAATTAGACTTTCACACCTCTGACCAGGTGTTAGAATACATGAGGCCACGAAAAGGACATTTCTGATCTAATGCCCTCAGGAGAATGGGCATTAGAAAGGAGCAGGACTGGGGTGCACTGGAATGGGGGTCACAAATACGCAGCCTCCATTTGGAGATGAGGGAGCTCCCGCTTGCTTAGATAGGGCTCTGGTTCTCCTGAAAAACAAGGCAAGTGACAGAAAACAGGGCAAGGACAGCCCAGGGTGCTGATAAGGTGTTGGTAACACCCCACAGTCCCCAGCCACGATCATCCTAAGGACAGACACTGCAGGCTGGAACAGAGACACTGGAGCCATTCCCAGGTTCCCCACTTCCTTGGGTTGGGGTGCAGTTCAGGGTGGGGCTCTTGCTTTGCATTCCTGAGGCTTAGGGTTCCTTCCCCAGCACCATGCAAAGAAAAAGCCATTTGTCACACTCTGTTCAGAGGTACGATGTGGGGAGCAGGGTGGAACCTAGTCCAGTAGTGGCGAACCTACGGCACGCATGCTGCAGCGGGCACACAGAGCCTTTTCTGTTGGCATGGGAGCCAAGTCACCCACCATCGCCCCAGCAGGCCAGCATCAGATAACAGTACAGCAGGAGCAGTTGGCACTTTATAATAAATAAGTGGGTCTTGGATTGCAGTTTGGGCGCTCGGTCTCTAAAAGGTTCACCATCACTGATCTAGTGTTAGAGGCTTAATTCTAGGAAGACTAGGAAGAACAGAAACATATTGGCAATAAACTGAACTCCAAAGTCCTCTGTTCAATCTGCATCCATGTAGACTCACACCGGAACTGAGGACTCTACTCGCTTCTGTCTTGGAGCTGTCAAACTTCAGAACCCTGGACCCAATGCTCCCTTGGCACAAATTCACTACATCCAAACCTGAGTATCATCCCCAGAACCTGCCCTTCTCAAAGCAGGATTTCAATCATCACACCATCACCATGCACATGCTGAAGTCGGAGTTGCTGGTGTTCTCTCAGATGCCCCCATTCTTACCCTCCGTATCTATTAAGTTCCTGAGTCTTGAGAATTTAGGTTTTCAACTGTCTTTCCAACCTATCCTTTTTCTCCCTATTTTCCCCTTTTTGGCCTCAGATGAGGCTCACATCATCTCATATCCAGATTTACAAATGCCTTCTAACTGTTCGCCCTCCCGAGCCTCTCTTCTCATCAATCTGTTGTGTTTTCTGTTTTTGGTTTTTGTGGTCACAGGGCCTCACATAAACTAAGCATGTGTTCTCTCACTGAGCCACACCCCTGACCCATTTTGTTTTTTTAGAAATCCAAATCTTACAGCTGAATATTTAGGCATTGCTTTAAAATGCTCCAACCAAAATAAACTATGAACTGACAAGTGAATCCAAAGACTGGCCAAATAGAGATTGTTTTTAAAGCTGTTAAATTTTTCTGCAATAAAATATTTGGGGGGAAAAACTCAAATCTACATCACTTTGCTGATAAAATTGCTTCAGCCTCTCCTAACTGCCCAGGGGATAAAGTTGAGGCTGTATGGTAACTGATGGCACATACAGCCCTTTGCTGCTGAGCTCAACTCTCCCCACTGCCCCCAAACCCAGTGTGTGAATCATCATCCAGCACGCTCCTGACCCCTCTGTGCGTAAACATGCTGCCATCACCCATTCATTAATTCATCCAGCTGACCAACAGGTACGTTGCCATGCATCTAGTTCTGTGTTATACAGAAGATGAAGAAATCTTTGAGGCAAAGGACCTTGAATAGCTCACAGTTCAGACAAAGAGACAGGTTCCCAAAGCAGAATTGCAGGAGTCTACCCAACAAGTTTCACATTAAGAAACAAGACAGAACTTGAAAACATTTCTGCTCTTGAATTTCCAAGGAAGACAGGAAGCAAAGCACAATGGTGTTGTAGAGACATGGGTCTTTGGTCGCCATTGGAAGGGAAGTATAGCTATTAGAAGATGCACCTCACAAACAGAAGGAAATAGTCTCTTTGCAGAGCGGATGTGAAAACAGCTCACAGGAATAGAAGGCTGTGCTTCTGGATTAGGCAGAGTTCAGTCTCTGCTATGAAGAAGTAAACAGATACCGACATCTTTAATCAAACAGTAGCCTGGCTTTGGTGGGGCAGGCCCAGCCCTCCTCGGGTTGGGGCCACTCACCCTCCTTCACGGCCACGGTCAGGGTGGATGTGCTGCTTAGTCCCTGCTGGTCCTTCACTGTTAACCGGAAGTGGTGGGTACCCACCTGGAGGCCAGTCACCGTGGCTACTGCTGCGTTCCCGTTTGCCATCTCCACTGCACTGGGGCCTCTGTGAAACACAAAAGTGGTGACAAAAAGAGGGGCAGGGAGCTGTGAGTATGTCAGGCCTGTGATTTGTACCCTCACAAGTATTCTTCTCATATGACTCTTCACTTGCTTTCTCTAGTTCAGTGTAACAGTCAGAAGCTAAAGCCTATTTCAGGCAGTGCCTGCTAGGTTCCTGGAAAAGGATTTTGTTGTTGTTGTTTATGTTTATTTTTTTCTAGTTGGGCTGTCAGTGAAATGATCTATTTTTGGAAAATTGAACCTCAGAAACTACTCCTATTTCTTTGAATAAAATCAGGTTAACTCCCCACGTATCTTTAGGTGGGGTATGGAGGAGGAGGGAGTGAGCCAGATGGTGGATCTCCTAAAGAGAATTACAGAATAGTCAGGGTGTAGGAGTCAGAAAGACCTAGGAGGGCGCCCTCTCCCCTTCTCTTCCTATCTGGAATGCTAGGCCCTGCGATCTCACTGGTCTCTATAAGCCTCAGTTTTTCAACTTTAAAAAGGAAATGGGATTAGCATGTGTATTAAACACTAGATGTAGGATGCTATGAGACTAAGCTGTGAAGTTCAGGAAGTATCAGATAATCTGAGCATCCACTTAAACCCTGCATTTCTGTTGTCCACAGTCACTGCAGGACGGGCAGGTATAGTAGAGACAGGACCACTCAGCCCAAAGTACCCTTTGCCCAAGACCACCCTTTCGACCACCTCCTCTGTTGTCAACAGCTGTCAACAAAAAGTTGTCTTCTGCTGCGCAAGCACAAGGACCCAAGTTCGATCCCCGGTACCAAAAAAAACCCAACAACAACAACAACAAAAAGCTGTCTTGCCTGTCCACAGTTGACATACTCTTCCCATTCTACCCAGTTACTTTTAGAAATATGCTTAAGCCCTGACAAGACCAAGCAGAGTGTTTAGCATCGATCTGCAGAGAAGGGCATTGTTACTCAGCTGCAGTCAGGAACTGAGCAGCTGTGGTGACACAGCCTACCTGACGTGCTCCCAGCGGTAGAGGACAATGCCATGGTCATCGCTGCTCCTGCTCCCATCCAGAGTAGCACTGTTCACCGGGAAGACCAGCTCCTTATCAGGGCCAGCCACAGCCACCGGAGGCCTATTGTCTTCTAGGAAGGCAAAAACAGTGTGAAAAAGGATTTCCTCTTAGCACACAGTCTGCAAGCCTGATTCCTTGATTTAAAAGCAAATTACTCAGACTGAGACCAGGCAGCTGCTAGGGAACAGTGTCCTGCGTCACAGGCAGCGAGAGGCCCTTGGCCCTGCGGCACATGAGGCTGGGGCCTTTAGAAGACCATCAGAGAGTCAGGATGGTGGGGAGGGAGAAAGCACAGGAGGAGAGAAAGAGGAAGGGAGGGAGGATGGGAAGAAATAGACACTGATGCACAGAGACCTGCTTTGTCAGGCAGGGTGGGCTTCCTGTCCCCTTTGTAGCCCCACTGCCTGGCAAACAGCAAATGGTCAAATAATTTTGGTTAAATGTTGAAGAAGGAAAAAGTACAAAGTATTACTTTTAGTGTTATTGATATAAATAGATACAATTTTTGTTTTAAAAATACAAGCCATGTAGTCAAAACCTGTGGCAGTCACTGCCAAAGCACTAAAATGCGTTAACAGTACTTTTTACAAAGTAGTCGAATGAATAAATGAAAAAATACATAACCCATCTCCAGGTGGAGGCTGTTCCCATCGCAGAACCCTGGGATAGCAGGCATCTTCGAGAAAGGCTCTAAGCAAAGACCACCATGAAGCCTGGCCCTGGCTGCCTAGGAGGCTCCTGTAGTCTGAGTAGGCAGGGTTCCGTGAACCCCAAAACAGACAGGAGACTGAGCAGAAGCCAGCACCCCAATATTGGAATGCACCTAGCAGGCTCCGCAGGGTCCCCTGGGGCTTGCTGCCACAAAGTGGGACAATGAGACACTTGTGCTAACATGGCTCTCACTGTGTCCCTCGTGCCATGGTTTAGAGGCCAGTTGAGATGAGATTCAGAATCCCAAAGAAAACTGGATTTAAGTGCAGCAGTATCTCCCACAGCCCTGTTTCCTGAAAGCTCAGAAACATGAGTGCCAAACTGGATGCTGCTAGAGCCTAGAAGCCCTGTAATTTCATCTCTGGGGCCAATCTCATCTCCATCTCACCTACCAGGCTGGACAATCACGGTGACCTCCGCAGTGGACTGCTGTCCTGAAGAATCTGTCACGATCAGCTGAAACGTGTACTCCCCTTCCTGCATTGCAGACACGTGCAGGTATGGGGTCCCTGCTCCCTAAGGAAGAGTGGACGCCAAGAGGAAAGCAAAAAGAAAGAGCAATGTTAAAGCAGCACAAGTAAATGGCATGGCTTAATGTAATGATTTTATTTTGTACAGGGACCCTGCCTGAAGATGAAATATGTGGGAACCCAGAAAAACGTAATTAAAATTCCATCATGTATCCTCATAGCATGGAATGTAAATCAATACAGCTTTTACTGCATTGGGCCAGGGATTTAGCTCAGTGGTTCTGCTGCAAGCCTTACAAGTGCAAGGACCTGAGTTCAATCCCAGGTACCAAAAAAAAGAGAAAAACAATACAGCCTTTTCAGAAGCCAAAATGGCGACAGGTATTAAAGTACAAAATGAGAACTTTCTTCAACCAGCAGCTCTCCTCAGTATCTCCTCTAAAGAAGTGTACAGGAGGCTCACCGCATGTGGATGTCAACTGAAGCAGTCTGTAATAGTGAGAAATGGAAACAATCTAAATGCCCATCAAGAGAGGGACCAAATTCACTGGATTACACTATGAAAGCTAGTCTAAAAGAAAGAAGTTTGGACTAGGGTGTGTCTTGGGTAGAGCATGTGTGTGGCACATGCAAGGCCTGGGTTACTCTCGAGGACAGTAAATAAATGAAATTTAAAAGAATCAGGTAGGTTTACAAGTACTAATATGAAAAATGTCAAAAACATACTAAGCAAAAAAAGAAAGCTGTGGAACAACACGTACACTTGTGATAGGTAATGCTACACACACACACACACACACACACACACACACACACGTAGAAAGGATTCCAGGGCACACATCCTAGAATGAGCTAAGTGATTATCTTTAGGGAGGGACATGGAGGACACTGGTGGTCAAGGTGTATTTTTATCTTACCAGAAGTTATTTGCACTGTTTTTTGATTCTGCTTTTTTGTTCGCATATTACTTTTATAATAAAAATAATTTTTCTTTTAAACTCTGAGGAAAACAATCCTCTAGAGCTGGCAATACAGCTCAGGGTTAGAGCACTTGGCTACTAAACTTTTGAATAATAACACAACCTCAAAAATTCCAAGTTGGTTGACAACAACAATAATCATCTCCAGCCATCACAAAAGAAGAAAGCTATAGTTTAGACCTGCAATGTCCCCAGAGGCCTACATGTCAAAGCCATGGTCCCCAGCCTGCAGGGTCATGGGGAGGTAGTGGACACTTTTTAAGAGGAAGGCCTAGTGGGAGGTCTTCTGGTCATCTGGGTCGCCCTTGAAGGGGACTGTGGAACCCTGGTGGCTTTGTCTTCCTGTCGCTTTCTGGCTACCACAGGGGAGTGGCTTTTAACTCCTTCACCTGGTTCCTACCATGATGTGTTATCTCGCCACAGGCCCAAAAGCCACAGGGCCAAATGACCACAGACTGAGACCTCTGACACTGTGAGCCAGAATAAACAATTTCTCTTTATAAGATGATTATCTCAGGTGTTTGTTACTATAACAGATATCATAAAGTATAAGCAAACAGCTCACACACACACATAAACACAGAGCAAAGGTTTCAAAGTTATTAGGTATTAGACAAATATACTTAAAAGGTTTGAGCAAGTCAAAATACAGATACAGAGGGGAAGGGGAAAGGAAAGAAGGGAAAGGAAAAATTATGAGACAAGAAAAAAATGGAAACGAAGTCTATGTAAACAGGGAAGGGTGGAGGGGTGAAGGGCGCACAGGTAATGGGGAAAAAATAAGAACCAAGATACATCATGTACAGGTACAAGCACCCAATGATAAATGGAAACGTATTATATACCTAAAATGTACCAATAAAAGAATTTAAACAAAAAAACCCACAGATACAAAGAAACTCTTAAGAAGAATTCACTGGAGTAGAGGGTCATGTTGGATGCCAGTGGTCTGAGCACTTCAGGAAGCTGAAGCAGGAGGATCACAAGTTTGAATTCAGCCTGGGCAGCTTAGCCATTTAGCAAACCCCAACTCACAATTAAAACACTAAAAAGGTCTAGGGGTATAGCTCAGTGCAAAAGCCCTGAGTTCAATCTTCAGTGACAAAGGGAGAGAGCAAGAGCAAGAGTGAGGTGAGGGCAAGAGAGAGAGAGAGAGAGAGAGACAAAGAGAGACAGACAAACAGAGAAGCAAGATAGACAGCACAGAGTTTTTAAAATAGGGGAACAAGGCCAGGTATGGCAGTGCATGCCTGTAATCCCAGCACTCAGGAGGCTGAGGCAGGAGGATCACTGTGAGTTCTAAGCCAGGCTGGGCTCCATAATGAGTTCAAGGTCAGCTTGAAGTACACACAGAGATCCCTGTCTCAAATTAACAACAACATCAAAATAAATATAAAATAAAATATGAAAAACCAAATAGCATAACGTTCTTATAATGAGCTTTAGGTTACATTATTTCTAAAGTTTCTTTCACTATGAAAATATTTGCCTAACAACCGTTGAGTCAGACTTCTTTCTCCCAACCTGACTTCAAGATCTAGTAGTTAACATAGGGTCCCTTGGTTGCTGTTCTGTGCCTGTTTAATTAAGGGTGGGAAAGGGATACACTGTAACCTAGAAGATTTGTGTGTTGAGTTGCTTCTCTGTCAGTTTAATCCTCTAATAGACAATTTTACAAAACAGATTTTTCAGATGTAACTGGCCCCAAACCAAAAATGACTTAGAGAAACACACATGCATGGATGGATGGACAGACAGACGAATGGACGGAGAGAAAGATGGACATACAGCTAGATATGACAGACGATGAAACATCTGTAGGCAGGTGGGGAACTTGCCTGCAGGGCCACCTCTTTGCTCTCACTGCCGGGGCCCAGGGACCACTCATAGAGCACAATCTGGTGATCGTCACTGCTCCGGTTTCCGTTCAAGGTGATGGTGTTTTGGGGCAAAGTAATGGTCTGATTCGATCCTGCACTGGCAACAGGTGGATAGTCCACGGCGCTGTTGACTATTAGGGTGGCAGTCGTGGAGTTAGTGGCCCCATCTGAGTCTGTAACGGTCAGCCTACAAAAAGCAGAGGACGCGATGACATTGCAAGAGCATGCCAGATCTTAAGGCATGAGGTCAGTTTAGTCTGTCCAGGGTTCAGTTTTCAGAACAGGTGTAAACAGAGACTTGAGGATGAAGCTAAGAAAAGCACATAGACTTGAAGGTTTGTTTTTTTTTTTTTTTTGGTACTGGGAATCAAGCTCAGGACCTTGACCTTGCCAGGAAGGTGCTATGCACTGAGCTATATCCCCAGCCTCCGAAGATATTTTTGTTGGCTTCGCTGTTTGCTGTTAATTTATTCTTAAGTCAGAATATATTCACATGTTAAAGCTTAACCTTTCTGGAATTCTGTGCAGTCTTTGAGAAGCTGGATGGAGAAACCACTCTCAGCTAACACAGAAGCCAGGGCTCCCTAACAGCTGAGATAAAGAACGTCACCAGGGTAAGTCCTGCCTTCTGGCTTGGGCATTTAGAGACAGGGCATCACTCATGAATTTTCAGTTGCACAACTTTGAATTTTTAAGTTCTTTTCTAGAGGACTTATTATATTTTCAAGACTCTGAAAGCAATTTTAAGATTTCAAGAATGAATTGATGCTCAGCCCTCCTATTGCAAAGTAAACCACACTAGCCCTCTGGTAGCAAACGGATTCTAGTGCGGAATGAGAACAGTGAAATCACCAACAGGTCATGCCACCCTTCCAGGACAGCGAGGGGAGCAGGTGCAAGGACAGATACTGACCAGTGTAAACAGCAGGATGAGAACAAAGCTCCAGGAAAGCCCAGAGGGAAGTGGGTGCCACACCATCCTGCACAGGCCATACAACCAAGGCCCACACTCCACACTGCTAAGGTCCAAACTTCTAGTTCCTCTCTCACAGGGCTCTTCCTTCTCAACCAGGCTGAGCCAGGACAGTCAGGGAATTTCTTCGTGGGTTAGCAGCAGAAACCCGACTCAACCACACAGAGAACAGTAATCAAACAAAAATGAACAAAAGCATCTCATAAAGTGGCATACTGCCACATATAAATTTTACCTCAATAAAGTACTAGAGAAATAATTTTCGTAATAACTTTGAAGTCCCCTTAGACTTTTTATATCAGAAAGTTCCCACAAATTCATATGAACAAACTTCTCAGATGAAAAAGTTGATGAAAATTTGGTAAATGCATCAAATGTCTTTAAAACATATATACTTCCAACTCAAAAATTTTACTTGTACTCCAAAATTTTACCATAAAGATATTCCAACATTAAACACTGAGGCTGAATTAAGAAACTACAATACATCACTATAGTATCCAACATGCGGCAGAATATTTGAAGGCTTGATATTCATGGTAAACTTCTTTCCCTTCTCACTTTGATAACGCATTACTGATGGCACAAAACAAGACTGAGGAATGTACACACACCTGGATGGGTTCTATTACAGGTAATATCTGTCCCTTAAGCTGAAGTTCCAAAGGAACTGTCTTCCTATTTATTCTCCTCACAATCATTTACAAGCCTTCAAATTATCTACCTTCTCTACTTTCCCCTCCCCTATGGCTGAGGGAGTATAGAAGTTCGGGAAGTCTTCCTCCACCTCTACACCACACACTGAAATAGAGTCCAACACTAAACGGGAACAAATCATTGATACAGACAACAGCAACAATGAATCTCAGTCATTCACCGTGTGCGAGAAACCGGGCAAACAGTCATAAACACTGTATGTTTGTTAATACAAATTCCAGAGACAGCACAATAATTCATGACAACAGAAAGCAGATCAGTTCCTGCCAGAGGATGAGAGTGGAGGAAAAGATGGACAGGAAAGGGACACGAGGGATTCTGGGGGGCAATGAGAATGTGTATTATCTTGATTAGGGCGATGGTTTCACAGGTACATGCCTGTGTCAAAATACATCAAATTTTAAATATGTGCATCCTTTAAATATGTGCAGCTTATTGTACTTCAGCTACACGTTTAAAAACTGTAAAAAGGAAAAGATTAAAATAATTATACAATTAGCAGATAATCATACAACTGCGCTTTACTTTGACTCTGAAGATGCAAACTTTTTGCTAGTAACTCAACAGAGAAAAAGATGCTATCACTGTACTATTCCTGACATCCCCAACTAGGAAACAGGCACTTTTCATGTGAACTGATGAAGATAATCAGTCTACACAGGCAGCCAACCAAGCCCCCCCAAGAAACCAAATTGGCCTTGCCTCTTGATCCAAATGAAAAACAGCACTTTCAGCACATCAATTTAAGGCAACAGTCAAAACATAAGCAGTGGAAATCATAATCAAAGCGGGGCCCACTTGCCTGAAAGTATAGTTACCAGGAACGAGGTGAGACAAGTGTAAGATGGGGCAATCAGTGGAGGTCTTCTCCTCTAAGAAAGGCCCGCTAACTTCTTCCCAGTGATAACTCACTATTTTAGTATCGTCTGTACTTTCTACAAGATTAACAGATAAAGAACTGGAATGAAACACAAGAAAGGAAAAGCAAACCATATTTACTGCATAGAGACACTCCTCGTTTAACAACTGAGTTCTGTTCCTGCGACTAGGTCGTTAACTAAATTGGTCAATAAATGAGGAACTGCATATAGTATGTATGATACAACATGCGGAACAAAGACATGTTCAAGGGAAACTCCAACTTGATGACTTTGCTTTTATTTACATCTCTTACATGCAGTACTGTAATGTATAACAGAACATAAAATTACTGTCATGCACAGTACAATCAGCAAAAATTACAGTATGTATAAAGTTGTACTGTGCCAAAAGAAAGATATCGAGGCTCCATAAACAAAATGTGCAGAACTGTACAGAAAAAGAGATGGGTCATAAGTCTAAACAGGGGGCCTCGATTGTAAGTCTGAACAGTCGTTAAGCAGGCAGGGTGTGAACTGAGGAATATCTGTATTTAAATCCATTTTTATATGAATTGTACACTTGCACAGATGGCAAAGACATATATTACATAATGAAAAGAGGGAGGCATTTTCCTGCTCCCTAAATTACCAGGACTCTTTTCCTCCTGGATATGCACCAGGTTTGAGTGAGGCAGTTCCCACTCAGTTGAATATTTCAGAGGCACAGTGACAGGCGCTGTTGCTTTTGAAAAACCAGGAGTGAACAGAATGTAGCACGCTGAAATGCTTCAACTGCCCGTGGTCACAGCATGTGATACCCTACTTGCAATTTCACACAGGCATCTAATCGGACAGATCCCTCAGGATGGAAGAGCTGCCTATCCATAATTTACAAAACACCTTTTACTGCAGAGAGGTTGTATCCTGCACGACAATTTCCCACTTGGAAGAAACAAAATGTTTCATGCAGAGTCATATAATTGCAGAATGGGAAAGGACCCAGTGGCATCGAAGTTGTTGAAGAAAAGAACAAGTTCAAGTGAAAGATTCATAGTCCTGAGCAGTGTATTGTAACTAAGCCACATTGAGCCAATCAAAATGGGATGCTTTTTGGCATGTAAATATTTCCATGGAAAATATGCTTTATTTTAAATATAATGAATAGGTGCAAATGGGCAGGTGGATGTGATCCCATACATTTGCTGGCTGGCAGAGTACCTTCCACCCAACAACCAGGACACCTACTCTTGACTCTCACAAGATTTGGCATTAGCTTTGTGATCAGATGCACATAATATGCAGGTGCAGAGTACACAGATTTTGTTGAACCAAGTCAAGCACAGGACATGTTTAGAGTCTGTTCTCAGTGGTGGCTGCGTCACACATGTGCCGCTAAAAGGAATGAACTCTGAATAACTAGCAAATGAAACACTACCTACTCCCTGAAGGCAAACCCACTGACAGTTGTTTAAAGTGAAAACTGCTAATTACACATGTCACAAACATCCAAAGAAGACTCTTCAATAATTATTTTAATTTCATATCAAATAGCTGGATCCTAAAGAACATCTTAGTATAAATGAAGGAAATGTAAACGAAGGGCAAGTGGGCATGCGACACAGAAGCTGAGGTGAGAAACTGAAGACCTCTAAGATCAAAACTAAAGGAGGCAATGATTGATCAAGTCCCCCCCACCCCGAGGCAGAGCACCCCTTAAACTTCGCAGTGTAGGGGAAGGAAAGACCCCAGCATCTGGGGATACACACGGCTGCCGTCCAGGAGGGCCAACGTCAGAGGCAGAGTGAGCTCTTGCTCTTGAGGAGAAACAACAGCTACGGGTGGCAGGTTGTCTCTTCCAGCTGTGTGACAGTAAAAAAAGGACAGTAGCTAAGCCCACGCTGTGTGCCTGTGTCAATAACCAAACAGATCATCCGCTTTCCACAGACCCATTACAAGTGTCCTGTCAAGGAGTTTATTACGAAGGCCTGGACTCTGGAAACCCTTGGTTTCCTACCAATGACAGGAGGGTGACTTTGGGCTCACACTTCTGTGTAAGCCCAGGAAAAGGAAACTTGATGCCAGTATCAGCTCCTGTGATGAGCCGGCTCTCCAATCTCTTTGACTGTTGCCCACTGCCACTACCATGCATTACGCTGATGGTAACTAGGCGAGGGGACTGTGCGAGGGGAAGAGTCACTGACATCCAGGTAAAGGCAGGAGATGACCGGCTCCAAGGAGACACAGGCTCAGTGACATAGCCTGCCATCAGCTCAAGTCACCCAGCCAGGGCTGTGCTTGCTGTGACAAAGGGCCACCTGTTTCTAATTCACATGAACGAACTGATCTGAGGGTTAGTGATGGCTGCAAAGCCCACAGTGGTCCGGGTGACTGTATTTGAAATTCTCATGCTCTTAAATTGAATCATGAGGCCGTACTAAACATCAGACAGAGAAGGCTAAGGTACAATTTGTTACCACCCAAGGTCAGCAAGCAATTACCTTGTAGACTAGAATAGCCATATTAAGCAAGTATCAAGCATTATACAGAAAGCAGAAAAAGAAAAAGAAAAAAGCACAACCGAAAATGTAACCTTTGCATGTTTTCTCTACAGTGGAGCCTCAGGTGAAAATGAAATATATTAATCATGTCATACAGGTGCCAGAACTTGAGATCACCTGAGGGACAAGAAGCTGTTCTCTCATACAAACTCACCTGGCTTAACAGTGACATTGACGAATCCCTCTCCAAAGGCGTTGTCACTAGAAACGGTGACTTTGAAGGCATAAACTCCTGCTGACAGCTGCAACACAGGGAAAAATTACACAGGTAAGTGTGCAAAAGACACAGTGGACCCACTACCCAGAGCCCACAATCCCCATATCAGCATATAGAGGGCTCAGGAAAAAGTCCCACTTCCAGCTGTCTCTGGACTGCCTGCCACATGTTTGAGGCCTACACACTGGGACACAAAAGGTCACCAAGGCAGGCCTTAGCTTAGTGACAGATGCCACTGCAGTTCTAAAATGGTTCCCAACCATACATATAGGCCAAGCCTGCTTCCATTTTAGTTTTTTGTTTTGTTTTTTTCAGTGCTGGGGGTCGAACCCAGGGCTTTGCAAATAAATGCTAGGTAAGTGCTCTACCACTGAGCTACTTTTCTAGCCCAGAATTGTGAATTTCTGGTGCACAGCTCTGGTAAGCTGGCTGCCAGCAATCTGGGCAGCATACACTGAGAAGAGGAGCTGAGTGACATGGGGAGATGTGAGCCAGGTGGCACCAGGAGCTGAGTCCCAGGAGAAGACAGCATAGTCACTGGGTGGGAAACTAGAGCTCAAGCAGTAGAGCTAGTTTATTTCTCTGTATGGGCCAGGAAGAGGGCATGTTTCTTCTTGTGAGGTGCTTATCTCTTGGAGCAGTATTTGGCCATCAAAGCATAGGTAAACTGGAATGGAATTGTGGCCAACTCTGAGAAATATGCCTGATTGGGAGCAGAGATAAGCAGAGCGTTGCTAATGCTGCAAAGATTGCAAGAACACAGAGTGGGCTGGGCACCCAGCTAACCCAAATGAAGAAAAGCTATCCAAAAGCCTCTTTATTTAACTATCTGCCTGTCTACTTACATGGTTGAAACTTTATGTCCTCCTTTTCATTTATTTTTGACCCAGAGTCACACTGCTGCCTAGACTGCCTCTAACTCCTGGGCTTCCTCCTGCCTAGTCCTCCAAGTAGCTGGGACTATAGGTGAGCACCACCACACCCAGCTTCTTCTTTTGATCTTAATCATAAGAGAGAATTCTGGGTTCAGCAGCTAGGAGTGTTGAGTGGATTGTATGGTGTGCTATCAACTGTAATGCATCTCGGGCACTTACGTGAGACAGGTTAAGAGCCTCTGTGTTTCCTAGCTTGAGTTCACCTTGGTAGTCCACAGGGTGGCTTACCAAGCTCCATTCATAGCTGTAGGTTGTATCTGGGAGCAAATCAGAAATGTGAGGAGTTACAATTCTGAGAGGCCATTTCATAGCCTGGGCAGAGGCCAAGGAGATGTTAGCCTCACACCCAGAAGTGCTGATGACCTTAGATTAGTGATGGAGAACCCTACAGAGATTTCAATAACAAACAGCTGCTGTGGCATGTGTGCCATTGGTTCACCACCACTGCTTAGATCTACTGAACTGCCCTTTCATCCATTGCCCAAGTAGTGAATAGCAAGGTTTCCATGTCTTTTTAAAGTAACATTTATTTTTATTATAAAAATATACAACATAAAATGTAGAAAATATAAAAGGTAACACAAAATAAAGCAATCTTTCTTTTTTTTTTTTGGTACCGGGGATCGAACTTAGGACCTTGTGCTTGTGAGGCAGGTGCTGGAACCACTGAGCTAAATCCCCGGCCCAAAGCAATTTTTCTTAATCTCACTGTTAGCACTTGATGATTTTGTTTCCAGGGTGCTACACCTGACTATCCAGATAAGTTTAACAATATCATCCACTGAATTTTTTGTCCTTTTAATAAAATGCAAGGAGATTTCCACTTACTTGATCTTTGTGGGGGGTGATTTAAAGACACAAAAATAAATTAAGCATCTCTGTGTTAAGCTAAAGCTATCTCCCACCTTCAAATAGCAATAAAGTAAGAGGTGCTTTATTTCAAGGGATTAAAATGCAAAGTCAAATATTATCTCTGTTTATAAAATTTCAACTCATGTGTGATAGGGAGAAAGATGAATAAAGGAATGCGGTGTATATATACCACAGGGCATTATTCAGCCATAAAAAGGATGGAGCTGGAAATTGTCACATTGAGAAAAATAAGTTAAACTTAGAAAGACAAATGTCACATGTACAATCTGAAAAAGATGACAGGAAAGCAGAAGAAAGACTATGATTAGACAAGAGGAAGGGAGAAAAGGGGAAGAAGTGGGGTGTCAGGGTGGGTAATAGGGGCGTGAGTATAATCAAATACATTGAACTCCCAAAGAACGTACGAAACCGGGGGTGGGGGGTAAAGTATGTTATGCGCATGAACAAATCTGCCAAAATAAAACCCATTCATCTGTATAACCTATGTACACTAATAAAAAATGTGGCCAAAAAGAAGAAATAGTCAAATGTTTTCAGAGTGCATTTGAGAGGCCATAGGGATAGGTCAAACTGTTACCGAACAGGAGAGCAGAGAGGAAGAAAAAGCATTGTGGACACATCTTGAGCTGCACGAGGGTTCTGACAACCTCCGAGCAGTGTGGCCAACACCACACATCCCCAAGCCACCTGTGGCGCAGGCTCCCACCCTCTCCTCCTACTGGAAACCTCAGGCTCTCAGAGTCACTGCAGACCGGGATCTGGTCTGTGACAACCTCTCCTGCTCTAACAGAACACTCTGCTTTGTACCATCCGAACTCACTGACTTTCTATCCTGGCCAGTGGAAGGATGGCTCCATCTTTAATTCCCTGTGCTCTCCCTAGATTTAAAACTGTTTCAGTAAACTTTGATGCACATGATCATGAAGCCTTGTCTTCCACCCTGGAACCCTGGTTTGCAATGTTACTGAATGTTTCGGAAACAATTCAGTGTTGTAAAGAACCTGTAAGAGTGGCTCTGGAAGACACCCCAGCCCCACTGAGCCTGGAGGTTCCCAAGGAAAGGCAAGCTCTTACCTGCAGGGGGCACTGGTACAACCAAGGCCTTCAGCTCCACGGAGTCCTGGGGTAAGGTCAGAAAGAGGTTATCTCCAGCAGACACTGACAGCAACTGGGCTACAGGTTAATCAGAAACAACACATGCCATTAGGTAATGCGGTCGTTTATGTACTGACCCACAACAGATCTGTTTTAAGAATCTACAAAACATAATCCATGTGTTATTGTAATTATTCTTCGTATCATTTTATCTAAGACACTTTTGCCTCTGGTTAGTAACTGACTATGCCCTGTACTATGCTGCAAGACAGATTCTGTACCTTCAAATCATTTACAGGAGCTGGCACTGTGAAGATAGGACTCAAACCGACTGAGCAATGTGTGGGGCAATGAGAGTTTCACAAAATAGGTAGGCACATGGATTGGGTCTATTCTCTCTTACTACCAGCTTTTCTCCTTCTTTATTTACTTTTTGGTAGTACTAGGGATTGAACCTAGGGCCTTCACACTGAGATACATCCCCAGCCTTTTTTTATTTTAATTTTTTAAGACAAAATTTCACTAAGTTACCCAGGCTGGGCTCATACTTGTGATCCTCCTGCCTCTGCCATCCAGAGTGCTGGGATTTACAGACAAATACTACCACATCCAGCTGTGCACCATCTTTGGTTATAAAAAGACTGAGTGTAGTAGTTAAGTGTTTCTATGTCATTAGTCACACAACCACTCAGTTCTAATGGTAACCTCATTAGCAAATACATTGGTGGGTTCAAGTGTCTTGCAATAATAGCACTGTTAGCTTAGGGTTGAAGGGGGTTAGAGGTTTGATTAAGTTTAGCCATATATTCCAAGAGATTCACTTCATAGTCAAGAGACTATAAGGGCAGATAAGACATTCACCACTAATGGCCTTACTCTTGAAAGCTTTCCAAGAGAAAATCCCAAGGACCTCTGTATGGAAAGGCTATCAAGCATCAGGCTTGGCTCAACCTGACATTAGCTTCACTTGTAAAACACAAGGAATCATACCAACATCTCATATAGAGAAAAGCAAAGATTAAAGACAGTCAACAAAGCTGAGTGCTCTCCAGGAGTCTCAGGAGCATGGTGACACTGGAGACACAGGTACTCCAGCAAACTCTCCTCTTCTGAGACCTCAGCCCTCCACTACCCCCAGGCCAGCGATAGAGGAGCTCATGGCCTCCTCCCTCACATCTCACTCACTGACTCTGGTCTGGCCTCAAAGACAGCAATGGTGATCTAGAAAGGACATAGGTCTAAGTCTCTGTTTCACAACAGAGAAACTGAGTCCTAGAAAGGCAAAGTAAGTTGTCCGAGGCTATATGGTTAAGAGTAGGTCCACCAGTACTTAATTTAAATGTATGTATTTCAATGAACCCTTACAGTTCAGACTGAATTGTGCTGGGAACTGTTCCAAAGGTCTCAAAATAATGGGTTCATTTACTCCTCCCACCCTCACACAGTAGTGGGAAGCTGGAGCTGTCTGAAAAACATGCATCTGTATGACAGATCCTACAGACTGGCTTCAACCTAGTATGATATCATGATGGTGGACATGGAACACTGCACGCTTGGAGCCAAAATGACCTGGGGCTGTCTTAGGCCCTCTGGAAAAAAACCCCAATTACTTCAGCCTTTTATCTGCCCTTATAGTCTCTTGACTATGAAGTGAATCTCTTGGAATATATGGCTAAACTTAATCAAACCTCTAACCCCGTTCAACCCTAAGCTAACAATGCTATTATTGCAAGACACTTGAACCCACCAATGTATTTGCTAATTGTATTGACTTATGACTTTCTGTTCTTTGACCATAAAAGCTCATGTAGCCTGTTTCACAAAGGAATATATCATTCAAGGTAACTTGAATCTGGGTTTCTGGACCACTTGTATTTGGCTGAGAATAAAATATTTTCTTCTTTCCTTTATTTTTTAAAAAATTTCCTTTAAACCAGAGTTGTTATTTCATGCTATCTGTAGCTAATGCTAGAACTCAAGGAGCTTAATTCCAAGGCCAGTTTCTTTTTCCATATATTACATAGTTTCTCTTCTACCATTATCCTTTTCTGTCTTGAAGCTCATAATCAAAATTTAAAAAAAAATTTGAGTAGCATTGGCTTAGGGCACTTACAGTGGGGTACGGATGGCATTGTTGATTAGATCTCAGACACACCCATAGCTGAACCTTTGAAATGGGCTGCAGCTACCCCAAGCCAGGATGTGAGTTAACCTTGGAAGTTTTATTTATTTTTTTTCTTTTTTTTTGGTACTGGGGACCTTGCGCATGCAAGGCAGGCAGTGGAACCACTGAGCTAAATCCCCGGTCCAACTTATTTTTTTTAGGAGAAAAGCTTTATTTTGGCTCACAGTTTGTAGAGGTGACCTTTGAAACTATAACCTCTGCTGACCTTCTGGACAACAAACCCTCCTCCCAAACACACCCCAACTCATTCTTACATGACAGTTTAACTTCTTTACCAGCACCAGTTGGTTCCTAACAAGGGACATAATGATCAGCCTCTCTTGTGGCTTAAAGCTATCAATACAGCCACTATTTTGTGCAACTTTGGAGCACACTTCCAAAACTACTTGAGTCTGTGTTTTCTAGAATTGCAATCCTAATTAGTTCCATATACATGTAATTTTCCTTATTCTTGAGGAGGTTTGTTTTATTTTGAATTGAAAGAACATAATTCCCCAAATCCATTATTGTAATGTAATGGTGGCTCCTACTGGAGTTGAGCCTTGCAGGATTATTCCCCTCCCTTTCCCCAGCTTTCTAAATATAAAGAAAAGCCACACCTAAATGATTAGGTGTTAACTGCTATCTTTCTTTAGATTTTCAGAATCTCTGGCAACCTTCAGATGATATCTGAAGCACAACATCCCTATTTATCCTCCAGTCCCATGTATCGACTCTCACAAAGCATGTACACTACAGTGAGGTTTAACTTGCAGAAGGGTAATGTGTTTATCTAGAGAATTAGACAATGAGCCCCAGAAAGTGAAAGTCCATTGTAATGTTCCAGCCAGAGGGAAAAAAAATGTGACATGCATGCCTTGGAAGACGACTCGACCAAGAACACAGTCTTTCTGCCCACTATCCATGTAACTGCTTTCTCTCCCTATAAAGCTTTTACATTCCTTAGCTCCCTAAAATGGTCTCATTTAGGGGGGCAATAGCTCATGGTACCAGCCCTCGAGTAAATCTGATTTCCTTCCCACAACTTTTTTTTCCAAGCATCGGCTTCTAAGTGGTGAGCAGATGGACCAGGGCCCAGTAATACTACCCACAGTAAAGCCCAGAATACATGACATATGCTAATAACTTATTAGAAAATCTAGAACCAGAGATTTAGCTCAGTGATTCTGTCACCTGCCTCACAAGTGGAGGGACCTGAGTTCGATCCCCGGTACCAAACAAAAAGAAAATCTAATTAAAGCTTTTCATTTCTCACCTTGGCCTCTGCAATACATGGCACTCGGACCAATCTTTCAACTCCAGAGAATCAAATTATGTCACTCTAAAATATGACTTCAGGAGATATACTGCTACCACAAATAGGCCTTGTGGCATAAGATTATTTTGAGCTTTTGTTTTGTTTGTGGTACTGGGGATTGAACCCAGGGCTGTCACACTTTGGGGGTTTTCTTTTGAGAAAGGTCTAACTCACCAAATTCCCCAAGTTGGGCTCAAACTTGTGATCCTCCTGCCTCAGCTTCCTAGAGCAATGGGATTACAGGTGTGTGTCACCATACCCAGCTTCACTATAGGCTTTTAATGAATCTTATTACCTCTGGTCAACTCTATACTATTTTCTTCATATGAATCTGATCATTTTGTTTTCCTGCTTAAGACCATTCAGGCATGCTCTATACCTATCCGGTAAAACACATATTCCTTAGCACAAGATACATGATTTTTCAGTATCTTACCCAGTTTAAAATTCTAGGTTTGTAAACTGCCATTCCCTTTCCACTCACATGATCAGTTCTGGGCATAACGACCTCCTTCCAAGTCACCCAGAATGTCACAGGAGCTCTTAAACCTCTGTTCTCTTGCATAGGCAATGAATGAAAAGAAGGGTGTGTTGGGACTCAGGAAACAATGCTCATAAGACTGGTGCCCTATCAGGATGAGAAGCCTTAAAAGCTGCCCCAGATTCAGGGTCCTTCTCATCTTCCTGTTTCTCCCCTTCCAACACCACAAGGGCAGCATCGCACCATCCATCTACCTGTCAGTCTGCTCTCCTGGGCCACTGAGCCACCAAGGGAAAGACAACGTCCTACTCATCTTTTATTCCCGGTACAGGGCACCTCTTCTGGCACATGACAGATGCCCAAAAGTTACCTGTCTTGGGAGATATGGGGTGTTCAGAAGGGGAGGCCCCAGAAGGGACAGTGCCGGTGGGAAGTGTTGGGGTGCTGAGCTCTGTGCTCCATGTGTTGACTATGAGGATTGGGCTTTTCTCCACCGTCACTGGGGTGAACTCCAAGCTGGCAGGAGGAGGACTATGAGAAGGTATTAGGACCTATGAGATCAATCACAGGGATAAATTGTTATGGAAAAAAAGCAGTGATTTCTTCAAGCAACACACTGTCACAAACATTTCTCATAAACTAGACTGAGTACCATGCGAAAAATCATGATCAATACTGAAAAGCCCTGGAACTCTAGACCTTCTTTCAAATATGTGTTTTCTCTGCTAACCGGGTGTGGTGGTACCCTTCTTGTAATCCCAGCTGAGTCAGGAGGATTGCTTCAAGTTTGAAGCCAGTGTAGGCTACACAGTGAGTTCAAAGCCAGCTGGAAGTATATAGCAAGACCATGACTCAAAAACATAAAAAAAATCTCTGCTATATATTAGAAATATAAGGCAACTGTGGGTTGGACAATTAGTATAAGTGAACATACATTTCAAGATAAAGAGAAAATAAGGGCCGGGCATTTAGCTCAGTGGTTCCGCCGCCTGCCTTGCAAGTGCAAGGTCCCCGAGTTCAATCCCTGGTACCAAAAAAAAGAAGGAAAAAAAAGATTGTATGGAAAGTGGAAAGATAAAGAGAAAATAATTGTAGTGCCCCTGAACTAATCACTGCAATGGATTGAATGTTTGTGTTCCCCCAAAAATTCATATGTAGAACTCCTAACCCCCAATGTGATAGATTTTTTTCTGAGGGAGGAGATTAGGTCATGAGGGTGGACCCCTTATGAATGGCATCAGTGCCCTTATGTGCAGAGGCCAGGGAGCTGCCAGTCCCCTTCCTCCACAGAGGACACAGCAGCCTGATGACAACCTGGAAAACCAAGAGGCAGGTGCTCAGCAGGAACCTGGCCCTGGAGCACCCTCATCACACACTTCTAGCATGTGAGGCGCAACCTAAAGTTGGTCAAGTTAAGGTTTTTCAATTAAATTCTATTTGTCCAAGGGAAAATTTGCACAATATGTTAACAAAGTGCTCTGGCAAGCCTCAATAACCATTCACCAGGTTGGGCCAGGCAAGGAAACTCTTTTAAGAGACTAAGAGTATGGGAGCCCACTGGGGATATAAATAGTGAGGAACCCACAGAAAGCAAAGCTGCAGTGTAAGCTGGAGAGGCCCCACTGGTGTTTATGGAAAATACAGCTCCTCTTTTTCTCTGAGGCTGAAAAGATAGAACGTGTCAGGTATGACAGGGTGCTTTTTCTGCAACTGGACACCCTCGGGGCTGCAAGGAGTTACTAGACAGCTGACAAAACCTTCTACAACTGAATTCCTGGAACCAAGACATGAAAAACAGGTGAAGCATTACATTTGAGATTCACTGATCAAAGTGACCCAGAGGCTAGGTCTGCTGTAACTTTAAGCTGACCGACTTCATGGAGCTTTGGGGCACCTGGTTTGTGAAGGGAGCGCTAATGGGCGAGTCCACTTGTCACACCTGCACATGCTAGGAAGAGAAGCAACTTCAGAATCGCTGCCACCCAGGCTGCACAGGAGGCGTGTAGAGGACACCACTGTGTCCCTCCTCAAAGTCCCTAGGGTGAGCCCAGTTTATCATACCCGAAAAATCAACATCAAGTTGAAATAAAGAATAAACAGGCTGCAGTATAGCTCGGTGGTAGAGCACTTGGCTAGCATGCAGGGGGCCAGGGTTCCATTTCCAGTACAGCCTGCATGCATATATGTGTGCACAAAAGAGTTAAAGTCAACAGGAGTCAGGGAAATCCAGGCAGCTTGGATCAGGGTCACAAAACTACCAGGAAATGGGTGAGGGCAGAAAATTCTACCCTACTCCCTTCTAAAACATCTGCTTTCCCAAACGCTGAGTCTCCAATTTTTAGCTCCGCTCTCAGGCATTCTGTCCGGGACTCTGTGCTTCATTACTGGAGTGCAGGGGCTTTAGGGCCCAACAGAAGGAAAGAGATTCTCTGCATCCTCCACTGGGCCCTACCATTCCTCACCCAAACCCTCTGTGCTAGGCTGAGCCCAGTCAAGAAAAGACTCAAATGGCTCTTCCTATATTTTCTCTGCTCTCAAACAACGCATTTTAAGTGCCTTATCTTGTCCCTGGAAAGTACAGGGGCAAAAAAATGTCTTTTATCCTCTACAAGTATGATTTGTCTTTCTTAGATGTCCCGTTTAATGGTATTATTACTTGAATAATGCTGCTATGAAAATTCCTGTACCAAACTCAGTATGGACAGATGTTTTTGTTTCCCTAGAGTAAATGCCTAGAGGTGGAATTGCTGGGTCACTCAATAACTACATTTAAAATTTGGAGGAGCTGAAGACAATGTTGCAGAGCAGCTGCACCACTTTACATTCCCACCAGCAGCGCGTAAGGGTTCTGATTTCTCTATATTCTTACTAACACATACTCATTTTTTGCTTTTCCTTTTATTTTTTGCAGTGCTGAGAAAACCCAGAACCTCACACATGCAAGGCTAGCACTCAACCACTGAACCACATCTCTATTCCTGCTTTTTGTTTGTTTCTATTTATTATTTTGTGGTAGATCAAATTCAGGGGCACTCTACTACTGAGCTATATATCCAGCCCTTTTTGTTTTTTGAGACAGGGTTCACTAAGTTGCTTTACCACTGACCTACATTCCCAGTCCTCTTCCCCTTTTTGAGGCAAGGTCTCACTGTGTTGCCCAGGCTGGCCTTGAACTCTCTCCCAGCCTCAAGCCATCTTCCTGCCTTGCCTCTGAGTAGTTGGGACTGGAGTACACAGCACACTCCCATTGTCTTTCCACTTGGGTAAGCTTTGTAAAGCTTGCATTCTTTCCTTAAGATCTTGGTCCCCCTAGCTAATTGAGCCTGAGTTTCCAGCCACCTGAGGCACCTGCTTTGGTAGATGTCCAAGGCTTCTAAGGTGCACGAGCTGGCTCTGGGGACTCCATCAGGCCACACTCACCTTCTCTGGGGTCAGGAGAAGCCCATGACTCAGAGCTGTCTGAGCTGGGAGGGAGGTGTCATCCTTTGGTCACCACCAGGCAGGAGACTTAGCAGGAACTCATAGATTCGGACACTCACCTGTGCCCCAGGACTGTTGCCAGATGGTGCCTGGGGCTGAGAAGGGTTGTCTTTGTCTGGACCCTGTTCCGGGGATGGAGACGAAGGGCCCAGGGAAGGGAGTGAAGAGGGTATGGGGGTGGCCAGCCTGGCGGCCTTGCTCGGTGTAGGGTGCTGTGGGGTGCTGGGACCGAGCTCGGCATCCTGTGGCTTCTCCTCTGTGGATCCTGAGGCTACTGGACCATCTGCTGGGGACGTAGATGCCTTGGGACTGTCCCTGGGGGATCCTGGGTGGTCCCCCACAGATACTGAGGCCGAGGGACCATCCTCTGTGAATGCTGGGCCAACCCCCGTGAATGCTGGGTGGTCTGCAGATACTAAGGCTGAGGGGCCATCCCCTAAGGAGGCATTGGCAACACCAGCACCCCAGCCAGCATCCTGGGCATCCCCCAGGGGGCTTGGTAGGTTGGTGGGCAGGAGGCCTGGCTCCAGATCCCTGTAGCCATCCTCCACGTAGTCTGTGGGTTCCTCCAGGCCCCCACCTCTGTCTAGAAAGGGCAGATCCTTGAGGAGGTCCTCAGGGGGTTCCCCCCAGGCTCCCGACGGCACACCCTTGCTCAGCATCATCTCCCCGTAGTCCAGCAGCTGCTCGGGCCTCTCGGCTGGCGGCCGCAGCACAAAGGTGAGGTAGGAGTGGATGGGCCCGGTTCTCTTGGGGGTGCAGCTCTCTCTCTGTGGGCAGCTCACCAAGTGGCAGTGCCCCTCAAACCACCAGGCCAAGTCACAGCTGGGCAGGTCACAGCAGGCGGCTGTGCAGTCCCCCACAGAGAAGGTCTGAGGCACAGGCATGATTCTGATGGTCTCCAGGTCCGGGGAGATGATGGCATTGGAATAGGTCCTGCCCTCGCTGCAGGGCTGACCAGTGCAACCTGCAAGGAGGGAGGCAGTGCATGATGAGAGAAAGGCCCCTGGTGGGGAGCAGCCCAAGGACAAGGCCTCATCCCCCACACCAGCCTGGCAAACAAAAACCAGTCAGCATTTCCTCTGATGGGCCATTCATCAAACCACCTCCATCCACTGACCCTCCCCTCCTACCACCCACCCACTTACCCATCCATCCATCCTTCCCTTCTTTTATCCCTCTGTCCTTCCACCTATCATCCAGATCCCTCCTCCATCCAAGCACCGTGTCAGGCATCCATTCTGTCTTTTCCTATTTCACTCGACTTAGCTAACAGAAACATTGCTCTCCATATGTGCATTGTTTTTATATCATTTACAATACTTTGCTCCTTGCATCAAATTAAGTTGCAAAGGCTTATTTTGGGGAATAGCATCCTGTCTTTGGGTTATTCTTGTTTGTTAAATGATCTTTTTTTCATCTTACAGGCTATTCTTAAATAGATCAGTTGAGAGGGAATTATCAAAGGACAAAGAAAATGGTGTCTTCAATGCGTATCTGTAACCAATTAGTTCTAGTCAAATTGTAAACAATGAACTGTAAATATTTCTAGTTAGTAAGTACAGTAGGTAACAGAGCCCATTATATGGTGAGGGGTCCACAGTACCACAGGCCACAGCCGCTGCAAAACTACAGGGAATGTCTGTAGTAATTATCACTGTCTGAAATGCATGTGCAGAATCATTTTTCTTGTATTCTTGTTTGTTTGGTATCTTTTTTTTTTTTGCTATCTTACAAAAGAATCAGTCTGTAACAGATTGGACATAAAAACAAATTAGTCTTTCACCACATATAATTTGAGAAGTGTTGTATTAAGGTTAACTCAGAAAGGCAAGGGATTTCTTTCCTAGATGGGGTTCAGACTGATAACTGCTATTTTTCTTTTTTTTTTTTTTTTGAGACAGGGTCTCACTATATAGTTCAGACTGCCCTGGAACTCACTAAGTACCCCAGGCCGGTCTCGAACTCATAGCAATCCTCCTGCCTCAGCCTCCCAAGTGCTGGGATTACAGGCATGCACCACCACACCTGGCTACTATTTTTTTCTAATTTTTTTTTTTGGTACCAGGGATCGAACTCGGGTCCTTGCGCTTGCGCAGCAGGTGGCGGAACCACTGAGCTAAGTCCCCAGCTGGCTACTATTTTTTGATAGGAGGGAATGTCAGATTGGATTTTGTTCTGTTTTGTTTTGTTTAGTACTGGGGATAGAACTTGAGTCCTTGCACTTGAAGGGCAGGTGGCAGAATCACTGAGCTAAATCCCCCACCCATCAGATTGTTTTTAACTGTAAATACACGAAAATGGCTATATGCAACATGGGAATGATCCTTATGTTTACCTTCATATACCACTCTTGTAATGAAGCCAGAAGATAGAGGAAGTTAGGCAGATAGGATATAGGTCCTGAGTAGTTAACCTGAAGTAAACTAAAAGTCTTAAGTGACTTAAGAGAGGTAATATACTAAAGGACCCAAATAATTATTAAGCAAGCTGACTATGAAGGCCTAATGGAATGCAAGGGACAAAGAATGCTAGGACCCTAAACAGGTGGGAGAAGCCCTGAAGAAAGTGAAGGGCAAATGAAGAAGCTTGCTTTCCAGACATCAAAGGCCTACATATAGCCAGAAGCATCCTTGCTTTCTGTCAAGTTCACCCCTACAAAAAACTGTATAAAAAGCCAATGGACTTAAACATCTATGGAATCCACTTTACGGAACCCCTCCCTGAGGAGCAGGGAGCTTTTGCTTTTATTCTTTCTATTAAATACTTGGTCATTTGCCACCACTTGCTGTGTGCTGTTTTGTCAGCTTCCATCTTCTTAGCCCCAAAGCAAGGACCAAGATCACAGCCCAGGAGGAAGGTGGTTACGGTAATGGTAAGTTTCTGAAAAACTCAGTGCCAAACATTGACTCTAAGGAAAGACTATTTAGTCCTATTTATTTATCAGTGCTGAGGACTGAACCCAGGGCCTTACATAAACTCAGCATATATTCTATCACTGAGCTATCCCTACAGCCTACCTAGTCCAACTTAACAGGAATCAGATGTAATATACATGTGTCTTTTCTAATGAATCATTTGAAGAGGTTTAGCCTTTTATTTTCTAGACAATAGCATAATTTCAAATGTGGAAAAAATAATACACTTTAGCTGAACATAACAAAATGGCATCTCTTATCAAGCTAAGAGATGACAAAATGTGAAGAACAGAGAGATAGCTAATCTCCAACTCTTAGCTCAACTCTCAGAAACACTGCATTTATTTTTTGAAATAGCACTATATCTCTGGGTGGCCTTTAAATGAAGACTCAAGCTACAAACTTCTTCCAAACCTCAATGCCATGATTCACTTTTGTTCCCTAGAGAAACAGTTCAGTTATCACCTTTTGGACAAAGTGTTTCAGGGAAACTTCATTACATTTCACCTCTGGCCTTGGCCAGCAGCAAGCCCAGGAGCCAACCTTAAAACTGTCTAATGAATCACTGTGTAGGGACAGGCTGTGGCCCTGGAGTAGGCACATGTCACAGGGGGTGATGTGGCCTTTCCATGGAAAAAGACCCAACTCAAACCTTAGAGCGGTTTTCAGTCTGACTGGGGGTGGAGCCTGTGGGGCACCTCGGGGGCAGATTGCCCCTTTGTTCTGCAATTAATCACTTGAATGGGGACTGTAACATATACAGTGATACCTCAGTTCATAAGCTTAATTTGTTCCAGAATTCTGGGGAAGATGGCTGCAGTCATATTTGTCACCCAATGTGGAGTTCGGGAGCAGAAGCAAAATTTTGCTGAACACTTCTGGTTGCCAACCAAATCGTTCACGAAGAGAAGCATTAACAAACCAAGGTATTACTGTACACATCTGAAATGGAGAATTTAAGGAAGGGGGTTCCTAACAACTAAATCAGCTTCCTTTGGGCCAAATTGCCATAAGCACTTCAGAATCTATTAGACATACTCTAGAAAGCTCTTGGAGGACCACCAAACTCCTGGCAACCATATTTGTATTCAACAAAGGGAGAAAAGAGAGAGACAGAAGAGAGGCAAATTGCAAGTACTATTATTGGGACTCAGTAACTCAGAAATTGAAATTTTGAACAATATCTCCAAAGAAAAGGACAAAAAAGTAATGAAAAAGTGGAAACTGGGTGTTTTTTTAAATGAGTATCTAAACATTAATGACATCATCTAAAACACTAATGGCAATATTTTTCAGGCTACACATGAAACAAAGGACATTTTAATTTAAACCTCTACAAACTATAAGCAAAATAAATCTTCCCCCCTTAAAAAAAAAAAGAGAGAGGTGGAGAACTGGACATACATATAAGCAAGGCACATAGAACTCCAACTAGCCATGATCAAAAAAAAAAAATCTACACATAGACATATAATAGTCAAGATCCCAGAAATCCAACAGAAGAACAAAATTCTATAAGCAGTTAGAGAAAAGAAACAAATCACCTACAAGGAAAGCCCATCAGAATCACTGCAGACTTCTCAACACAAACCCTCAAATCAAGGAGAGCCTGAAGTGAAGTATTTCAAGCCCTAAAAGAAAATAACTTCCAACCTAGACTGCTGTATCCTGCAAAATTATTTTTCAAAATCAATG